TTTAGCTTGCAGAATTATTTTAACCAATCAGAGTATAGTAATTTTTAACCAATCAGGTTTTGACTTGCAGAATCATTTTAACCAATCAGGGCACAGTATGTTTGGATTATTTTAACCAATTATGTTTAGAGTTTCAGAATAATTTTAACCAATCGGGTTGCGGTATATTCTCATCCAATCAGATAAAAGAAAATCATCCAATATAACAAGTTTAGACAGGTATTGAATATTTATAACCAAAAAGTCTCCTGAGTTATTTTAGAATATTTTTAAATTGTCAAGTTGATCAATTTGTGCTAATTTTTTCTCCAAACGATTACTTGATTCTTACTTTGGAGTCATTTTAGAATATTTTTCCAATCTTCACGCTTGAGTGATTTTCGCTTATTTCTTGAGTTTGAGGTATTTAATCACCAAATGGACACAGTATTCTTACTCCCTCTACATTTAAGAGCATTTTTACAATTTTCACGCTTGAGTGATTTTTGGTGATTCCTGGAGTTTGAGGCATTCTTTTACCAAACGATCACTTGATTCTTACTCCTGGGTCATTTTAAAGTATTTTTTGAAATGTCACGTTTCGGCGATTTCAGTCACTGTTGATCGATTTCTGCTAATTTTTGGAGTTTAAGGCATTTTCACAAAATAGACACCCACCCACTATACAAAATAACACGCTTTAATAGGCATCTGTTAATTTAACATGCCACTGATAAAAATATAAACCCCTACAAGATAAATAATAAAAAATGCTAACGTTAACAGTTTTACAGCAGAACATTTTCGACCAATCAAAGTGTATATACAAATGAACTGCTGAACCATTTCAATCAATCAGATCAGATTATTGCACTCTTTGACCCCACCGCCGCCGCCACCGCCGCCGCCACCGCCGCCGCCGCCACCGCCGCCACCGCCGCCGCCGCCGCCGCCGCCGCCACCGCCGCCGCCGCCACCGCCGCCGCCGCCGCCACCGCCACCGCCGCCGCCACCGCCGCCGCCACCGCCGCCGCCGCCGAGTTATGGTTGCTATAGTAACATGACATCACAATACCCGGGGCAGTAATACAAAAATGTTAGATATCATAATTTCAGGAGAAAAGTTGCCCTGGGTATTGGAATGTCATGTTACTATGGTAACCATAACTCGGCGGCGGCGGTGGCGGCGGCGGCGGCGGCGGCGGTGGCGGCGGCGGCGGTGGCGGCGGCGGCGGCGGCGGCGGTGGCGGCGGTGGCGGCGGCGGCGGTGGCGGCGGCGGTGGCGGCGGCGGTGGGGTCAAAGAGTGCAATAATCTGATCTGATTGATTGAAATGGTTCAGCAGTTCATTTGTATATACACTTTGATTGGTCGAAAATGTTCTGCTGTAAAACTGTTAACGTTAGCATTTTTTATTATTTATCTTGTAGGGGTTTATATTTTTATCAGTGGCATGTTAAATTAACAGATGCCTATTAAAGCGTGTTATTTTGTATAGTGGGTGGGTGTCTATTTTGTGAAAATGCCTTAAACTCCAAAAATTAGCAGAAATCGATCAACAGTGACTGAAATCGCCGAAACGTGACATTTCAAAAAATACTTTAAAATGACCCAGGAGTAAGAATCAAGTGATCGTTTGGTAAAAGAATGCCTCAAACTCCAGGAATCACCAAAAATCACTCAAGCGTGAAAATTGTAAAAATGCTCTTAAATGTATCGGGAGTAAGAATACTGTGTCCATTTGGTGATTAAATACCTCAAACTCAAGAAATAAGCGAAAATCACTCAAGCGTGAAGATTGGAAAAATATTCTAAAATGACTCCAAAGTAAGAATCAAGTAATCGTTTGGAGAAAAAATTAGCACAAATTGATCAACTTGACAATTTAAAAATATTCTAAAATAACTCAGGAGACTTTTTGGTTATAAATATTCAATACCTGTCTAAACTTGTTATATTGGATGATTTTCTTTTATCTGATTGGATGAGAATATACCGCAACCCGATTGGTTAAAATTATTCTGAAACTCTAAACATAATTGGTTAAAATAATCCAAACATACTGTGCCCTGATTGGTTAAAATGATTCTGCAAGTCAAAACCTGATTGGTTAAAAATTACTATACTCTGATTGGTTAAAATAATTCTGCAAGCTAAAACCTGTTTGGTTGAAATGGTTCTGCAGTTATCTTTTTTACTATTTTATCAGTTTGTTATCAACCTTTGACCTATAACAATGAAACATCCATGAAGTAAACAAGATAACTTATCACATAGTCACCAGGTTACCTTAACAGTGATTGTTTGATTATCTTATCAATTGAGCTCTCTCTTATCAATTATCAGTAACCTTTGACCAGTGATATAAAGTGGCATGATGGTTCTACAGCTTATACAACCTATGAAGTATGTGTCAAATATAATTGGTCAAATTAATATATTACAGCCATGTGATTGGTCGAAATTGTTGTGCAGTTATCTTTTTCACTGTTTTATCAGTTTGTTATCAACCTTTGACCTATAACAATGAAACATCCATGAAGTAGACAAGATAGCTTATCACATAGTCACCAGGTTACCTTAACAGTGTTTGTTTGATTATCTTATCAATTGAGCTCTCTCTTATCAGTTAACAGTAACCTTTGACCAGTTATATCAGTAACCATGTGACGTATGACATCATTTCTATGCATTCAACTCAAACCTATGTTCTTTTATCAATATAACCTTTGTCCTGTTATATCAGAAACCATGGTAGTTATCTTTTCACTGTCTTATCAGTTTATTATCTCTCTCTTATCAATTATCAGTAACCTTTGGCCATCTTTTTCACTGTCTTATCAGTTTATTACCTCTCTCTTATCAATTATCAGTAACCTTTGAGCCAGTTATGTCACCAGGTGTAAGTGTAAGGAACACGTGACCTATGACGTCACTTCCAACACGTGACCTATGACGTCACTTCCGGTGTAAGTGTAACTTCCGGTGTAAGTGTAAGTACCGGTGCCGGTAGGGGGTCGAAATGGACGCCATATACTACTTATATCGCAGTGACGATGTGTGTTTCTCATCAACCTGTTTCAAAGATGTTTGTCATATAGTGTAGGAGATGTTTCTTTGTCATATAACAGTGTAAAATATGTTTATTTGCTGTATTTCAGTTTGGACTTAAAAATGTTTATACTGAGAAGCTAGAATTAATCTTGAGATGGAATCTACAAATACATTGTCATGTATAAATTAAAAGATACAAATACAGGGTGACACAAAATATGCAACGTTCTAAATTATGATGCCTTATTCTTGAACTTTCCAGTATGGGATGCTCAGTGCATTGAATAGTGGTGGTAAACATTTACAGGTTCAACAACCAGAGGTTTAGAGAGATCATGCTATCCATTTTGGCTTGCTCAGATGCAATGTAATTTTTACGAGATAGGCAAGTCAGTTAATCATAAAATTATTCCACAAAAAGTGAGTAAAGAGGATATATTATTGATAATACATTAAAAAGCAATCCAGAAATGATTTAAATAAGGCATAGACAGATAACCAATTTGATGCAACTTGGACGTACCTAGATGGAAAAAGTTGTTCCAAAATTAGAGGGTCACATTTTTAGTTACATTCTAACATGTGTTTCATTCCAAGTACCTCACTGTCTTTCTTGAGAAAAGAACTATCTTTGTTATTCAGTGTACTAATTGCTAGTAAAATAGTTTTGATTGTCATCATTAAATATTCAAAAGGTTTGGCGATATCATATTTGAAATCTGCCCACAAAAGCCTATCAGATCTAAAAATGTTTATAAACTTTGATTTTTTTGTGAAGATGTAATTTCTTGGTTGAGTAGATTCCTCATATTGCCCATTTTTGTTGGTATAAGATCAGCAAAAGTAAAATATGTTTTCTTGTTTTTAACATATGAAAATCTCTTATTGATTATGATTTTAAATGGTACAATTATCTACCTAAAAATGACAATGAAAATTGATTCACTAAATCTATTCATTATTTCAGTTTGGGGGAATTTTTTGTATACCTACCTTGAAAAAGTAGCTTCCTACTGGCACCTACACCATTTATTTGATTCATCAAAACCTGGACAACTAAAAGCCATTAATTTCCAAATACTATACAGGCCCCTAGCCAGGATTTTGAAAAATTCCAATGGGGGTTCACTTTTGACAAGTTTGGTCCAAAAATGGCCCAAATCACTTAAAAAGTGCCCAGAATGGCGAAAAACTGTATGATTTTGAAAGAATTTTTGGCCAGGGGGGGGGGGGGTCGCTTGAATCTATCGAGCCTCCCCTTGCTACGGGCCTGCTATATACCATTTCAACTTTTTGTTCTGGCTAGTTCTAATTTCTAACTTCAATGCTACTGAAAATTGCTGAAAATTCAATTATTCAGATCATCTAATTGGCTCAATGTTGAAACATTAATTATAGAGTTTACATTTTCTTGTTTCATGTAAAATGTTTAGTCTAAGCCAAGCTTTCCTGATTGTGACAAATGTTTAATTTCCAGCCTCAAAACAAAAAGTAATATTTGAATTACATAAATATATTTTCAAACGATAACTGGATATGTTGCAAATCGTTAATCACACTGTCACAATGTTTTATTTTATATAGTTAGTAAATATTTTCTGACATTTCAATGTGGACTTAATTTTTTACTCAATATATTATTTGATATTTTGGGGAATTTTAACATGGAGTTAAATCTTTTAAAGTCAAGGTTTTTAACATACCAAAAAAGCAGAAACACTGATTGCAAGAAAAAAGCTGACCTCCTTATGCAATCAAAAGAAAAGCAGTTTCCCAGGTTAATTATTACATGTATTGTTTTGCATCAAAAAACAATCCAATTATAATATACTGATTGCATACTGTATGCAGCTAATACCAATTATACTACTTGCTATATAATACATACATGTTGAATATACACTGCATGTACAAATCAATCAAGCGCTTAAAATATAAAGCCCACTAGTAGCTCTGCATTTAAATATATGAACCCACATTTATGTGACTATTGAATAGAACACCAGTACACATACAATTATTTTACATATAAATAAAACTCGATAACTAAATATTCTAAACAGTGGATTAAAACAGAAATAGGAGTTATGAGTACAGTTAAAGTTGAAACTTAGATGGACTTTGATGGATGCTAAAATATGAAAGAACATGGAATGGCTTGGAGGAGTTATAATATGTCTGCCTAATGGGCTAAGTAAACTTACAATAGCTTGAACTATGTATGGTTAAGTTTACACAAAATGGCTTTGATATTTCAGCTGAAAAGTATTGAGCACGTCACTGGAAAAGCTGATCGCTATGTGACCATTGAATTCAGAGGTGAGTTTTGATGACCATGTTTTTAACAGATTTCATCGTTTATTTCTGTTTACAATAATTTTTAGAACATAATCTACATGTACCACTGAAATGGTTTCCATATATATATACATCTACATTGTACGATGTATGTCCCGGGTATGTCCCAGCCCATCTACAAAATTGTAATGTACTCTATCTTTGAGTGTCTTAATTTTATTCTTATTTGATAGCTTGCAATAATTGAATTTCAACAGAACTTGATAAAGCCCACATTACTTGTAATTCCATGAAGCATATGTTTTCCAGAAGATTATGTACTGTAGAACAGGTACATTTGATGAAGAACATTTGTTTTGTTTTTTGTATTGATATGTCATACTAAAAGTTGACTTTAGATATTCATGAGCTTGGTTGCATTGAATAAGTTTTTAAAGTTTTTGTATGAATGAACATTGGTTTGTAAAATGTACATTCTGAAGAAACATGATGATATCAGTCAATGGGTAATTTCATCATTAGGTACATAAAGACCTGCATTATCCAAAACACATGTTCCAACAAATTCAGCAAGCTTAAATTTTATGTTAAAGATTGAATACAATTTTGAGTATCAATTTTTATGTTTTTCTCTTGAAGATTTAGTACCTACTTAATCCATCTTAGTTTAGAGTTTTATTCACACAAAGCTGTGTGTATTAAACTGTTATGTCAACTTGTATTTCAATAATGCATTAAAAGTTGGCAAATAATGAAGTTTACTGTTGAACCAATCGTTCTTATAAATCTTCCTGTTGAAACTTCTTAATATATAAAACTAGAGGAAATGCATGTTGTATTTCAACATATATATTTGAATAAATGATTTCCTAATCAACAATTTTGTAATCGTATACTACAGTATTTACCTGTCAATCAACTTATGGTGTGTTGATCAACTTATTGTACTTATGGTACATTGTCAATCAACTTATGGTACATGCCAATCAACTTATGGTACATGTCAATCAATTTATGGTACATGTCAATCAACTTATGGTACATGTCAATCAACTTATGGTACATGCCAATCAACTTATTGTACTTATGGTTCATGTCAATCAACTCATGGTACATATAGAGGGCTATAGATCATAATATGCATATTTATATACCATTTAGAAAAATACAATCTGTCCAGGTGAGCACTGTTGGTAGTGACCTTATTATGTTCAAATTTATAGCATGGGTGGGGGTTCTGAAAGTTTGACATACCAACCTTAAAAATAGACATGTTTAGTAAAAATTGGTACCTAAAAATCCAAATTGGCAAAATTACAAGCTCTGTTGAAACTTCAGAGCCTCGTGGATAGGTATTCACACTGGATGCCTGTTGTTTCTGATAAATATCATGGGAGGTACGGTTGTACCATATTTAGTTGACTACCTGGGGTTGCCCAGTAATGGCTACCTGCATCTCAAAGGCTAGCTCGCTGTAAAATACTGTTCTGGGGATGAAGGCATCTTGTCAAGATACAAAGGCCAACTTTTACAAAACATAATATAGTTCACTGCTGAGAAATTAGAAAAATTGTCATCATTATCTCATCATTTTATTGTATGTGGGTAATAACATGTTATTTGCTTGGATTCCAATTTGATGATTCTATGATTGAAGCAATCATAGAGAGATGGAAAAACTGTTTTTGTTTTATGGAAAAGCAAATTAACTTAGTACAGTGATCATGAACTTCATATTTTTTTGAATTAGAATGAAATTAGGTTAAAGCAATTTGTCTAACTCAAAATTGATATTGAAATAGTTCATTGAAGATGATATTACTTGTTATGAAGTTAGAATGTTCTGGATTCAAGTGTGTTGTCCCTCATAAACAGTCAATTGTTGTTTAATTTAGTCACTTTTAAAAATAGCTTGCTTTGAATGTGAAAAATCTACCATTTAATTTTGTGAAATTAAGCTTGAACCCCCTCCCCCTCCCCTGGCTAGGAGTCTGATGGCATCATGATTCACGACTCTCTCACTCTCAGGTTCAACTTAAAGGCTAAAACTTAACGATTTCAATTTTTGCCATGCAGAATATATGTACAATAATAATTCAATATACTGTACATGTTGGCAAGTCCTCACTTGTATTAAAATGTACATTTTTCTATAGATTATGCTTTCAATTTTCAGATTATGTCCAGAAATCCAAAATCTACCGGAACATTAGGAACAATGGCTACTTTGGAGAGGTAAACACTTTAGGAGAGATTTCTCAATAGACTTATAGTGTTTCTAAATCCCTTATGTTTATAATTTATAAAGTGTGTGTACAACGTCATCATAATGTACTCTATCCATTTATAAGGACCCATGCTTATAGAATGTTTATAAGTGAATAAATGCTTATCTCATATAGACATAATTATTGGTAGGGGATCATGATGATACTTGGCATGAAGTCATTTACTATCCAATCCACCTTATAAAAAGTTAGGAAAAAATTATTCATATTCAGTGAAAAGAACATTAAAATTGGTGGATGAAATATAGATTATAAGATAACATGTTAAGATTTTATTTTTCTATACTATAAGTAAATCTTTTTGCGATGTCAAAGGAGCGCAAAGGTTAAACAATTTCAGAAGGTTAATTATATCTTGGATTATGACTATTTTCTGACAATGAAGACAGGTTTATCATTTAGATCAATTCAGTATCTCAAAGAAAATTATATACAGTAATAATAAAGTCAAACAAACTCAGGGATATTTAACTAGCAATCAACACACCTTTTCAAAGATTTTGACCCCATTTTCACCAAAAATGCAATCATTTTTTACAATGACATGTTTAATGCATTACTATTCTTTATTTTGATGTATCAAATAGTTCTAGAAAGAAAAACTTAATTGCTTTAAGATAAGTGTTCCCCATGTTATTTCTCCATTGAAAAATATCATGCTATCCATTGGTTTCAGTTCATTTTGGTCATCCCAATTCAGTATCTTTAAAGTCCTTGGAGCAATCAACTTTTCCTTTTAGGAAATCGAACATGTCTCAAAGCACATTCTAATTATGCATTCAAAAATATAATAAAAGGTTGCAGTTTTGGTGAAAATTAGGTCAACATTTTTGAAATATTATGTTGATTGGTCCATTGCCCCTTCAATATCACTTAGACCTGATTGACTAAATTATCATTATATATACTTTTCTTGAATATAATCAATGGATCTAAAAGATACACCCATGATCATGATCAGAAAATATTCATAATTCAAGTTAGAATCGTTTGAAATTGTTTGTGATAACCTACGTGCTCCTTTCAATTCACTTATGCAATTCACTTATAATGTATAGCTAAAAGCTATATGCAGAAACACAACTTATGCTTTCACTTATGAACAAAATCACTACTATTTAATTTGTAAAAAGAAACTTATGAGACTTAAGATATATACCCACCCCAGTCAATATTGTTTATTTAATTGTTCGCAACATTTTGTATTTTGATTTGAGTGAATGTAAATAAAAGGGCACAATTAAAGGAGTATTTTAAGAGTGAGAACACAACAGTTCATTACTTGTTTATATCCAGAATTAAGATTTTGAAGTCTTATCCAAGGTCATAAAATGATGTATTTTATTTATAAAACACACTTATAAAATATGCTTTGCAGTTAAATCAATCATAAAAAACACGAAAAACACTGATTATAAGCTAAAAGAGAGGGGTCAAACAAGGTCAACAGGCTGGCCCAATACAGTAAACAGTACATGTATATAGCAGAAGCTAGCCTCGTATACATTTAAGATTTAAAGCAGTATACAAGTACAGGGCGTTCAATAATTATTGCTAATTTTGTTATAACTTTTGTCATCTTGCATATTTCTTCATGAAACTTTAACAACATAAGCAACACATATCTGACATTATTCTATCCAAATTTCTGGACAACCGACTTAGTATTGACAAAGTTATGGTTACTAGAGTAACCAGTGTCACGGATATGCGGGGCAACCTTAAGGGTTTACATGGTGAATTATTGTTATACATCAAATAAACACTTTGATAAATAAAAACTGTTGATATGGTCAAATCTTGATGTTTTCAGTTTGATTTATATGTATTATCTAAATGTTACAGCGGTGAAAAGAGATATGAGAGGAATATCGCACTAGAATCTCAATCAGCGAATGTCTGCAGTGAACACTGCACATCCCTTATTCCCTAGCCACACACTCAACGTCCTCAAAGAGCAATATCGACCTATACGCTCCACCAGGATAATGCCCCTGCTCACAGATCCTCTATTCTCCTAAATATATATATAACTTTTATTGACATCTTGTATCATAACATGATTACATTAGTCATAACTATGAAAAAACTAAATATCTAAACTACAAATACTAACTAAGGCAAAAGTACAAAAATATATACGAGATATACAAAAAAAAACAAAATAAAGGTAGTATACATCATGATGAAAGGACAAGGTTACATTTAAAGTGTGGTGCACATACCCTGCATTCTGACTACAAATTCTTAAATGAATGATAAATGAATTTTCCAATGTGTCTTTGTAATGTTAAGTTTTTACTTGAAATGAGATTGACAAATAAATTTTCACTATTGAGGTCAAAGTTACTTAGAATTTCACGAGCCTTAGTGTACAATAATTGTCTATGCTCATCATTCTTTGTACAAGTTAAAAGGAAATGACATTCATCCTCTATTTGTTTACAGGTATTGCATAATCTTTCCTCTCTAGGTTTTGGTTTTGGCTTTGCATGTCTTCCAGTCTCAATCGCCAATCGATGAGAACTCATTCGAAATCTACTTATCGCCAATCTATATTTTTTATTATCTAATTTCAAATATAATTCAATTCTAAAATCTTTTTTGAACAATTTATACGTTCTCAGTATAGGATAAATGTTCAAATCATTTTTCCATTTTTCTACAAATAATACCTTCAACTTCTTTTCTACCATGCTCACTAGATTGTCAGTATTCAGATTTTGGTCATTCCAATAATCCAATAAATCACATTTTCTGAGTATATCATAGACCTTGCTAGACCAACTTTTGAATCCTAACTCTTGAATATCTCTATCATATAAATAGGCTTGGTTTAATACACTTGATTCTGGAAATGTTAGGAGTCTAAGCCAATATTTTATAATATAACACTCAAATTTGATTGACAATGGGTACCTGCCTAGATCGCCATACACAGCAGGGCTTGCAGTTTGTGATTTGACACCTAATGTTGACTTTAAAAAAGACAAATGTATGGATTCAATTGCTTTCATTTGTTTCTTATCATACCATATTTCACATGCATAAGATAAAATTGGACTGACCAAAGCATTAAACAGATGAAGAGCTACATCTGGTGGCACATCATTAAACTTCTTATATTGCTGTTTTATCTTAAAAAGAGCCTTTCTTGATTGTTCTTTAAGATATTTAGTGTTCATATCAAAACTGTTGTTATTGGTGAGAATGAGACCTAAATATTTGTATTCATTAACACATTCAATACTTTTTTCATTAAATTCATTAAATACAATAACAGAGCTTGGCATGGAAGCATTGCCCCACGCAGCATATTTCCCAGATAAGGCCCCACTTGATTTTATTGTATTCGCCCAAGTGAAATGGGATTTGAGAGGAATATCGCACCAGAATCTCAATCAGCTGATGTCTGCAGTGAACACCTCCCTAGCCACACACTTCAAGGGTGTCTTCAAAAATGTGCACCACGAGTGGGTCCCCAGACAGCAACTGTGAATTGACGCTAAGGGTACCTGCCTATTTTGAGCACCTGAGGAAGTTAATATGGATCATGAAGTGACTCTGGAATGAATTATTTATAACTGCATTGCATATCCCAAGAGTTAAACTGCATTAAATGATACTGCTTTCAACACTCAAAGTGTCGTCCAGAGTGACATCAGAAATTTGCCCCGCATATCCATGATACTGGTTACCTTGGTAACCATAACTTTGTTAATACTGATTCGATTGTCTTGAAACATTCAGTGAATAAAGTCAGATATATGTACCTTATGTTGTGAAAGTTACATGAAGAAAAAGCAAACAGAACAAAAGTTATAGCAAAATTAGCAAAACTTATTGAACGCCCTGTATAACAGTAGTATAGAGACACCTTGAGAGAAACTTTGAGACATTTGCTTACAGCATCTTTTGTTCCCCTTGTTTTCTTAATGACTCAAGAGTACTGATTTTATTTTCTGAAAAATGTTACATGACCATTGATGCAATATAATTAGAATTTTTTTTCAATTTTGATTAATTTGGATATCTCTGGATCTTGAAATTTCTGATCTATGATCAGACATTGTTAGGGAAATATTGACTTGTTTTTGAAGGTTGCTTTCAAATTGTACACTCTGTATCCACTGTTGCCTCTGTGAAAGAATCTCTTGCTTTATTTTTCAGTCATTCGAATGGCCAGTTGCCCGGGCAATTGAGGGAACAGAGGTCATCACAGTTAAATTGTACAACCACAACAAATACTTGAGTAACAAGTAAGTCATATCATAGCAATTAATTTTTAATCCTTAATTTGATAGCAGATTTATTTGTAGATTAGTGCAAAGAGCTCAATTGGTTTTGGCATTCTTGGATATTATAAGTTTGACACAAACTGTAGTTACTTTATTCAATTTCTAAAGTGAGAGTGTTCCCCTTAGAGTACATGGTATTCAATATGGGACTTGTGTAAATGATGGAATGGTCCTATGGCTTGCAGGTTGGTGGCAACATATACAATATGGCTGCAGGAGGTGGCAAAGACTGGCCATATCAGCCTCCGTGACCACATGCTCAATAAAAACAATGAAGCACTAAGGACGATGATCAACTATGAACTTAAATACTACAACCCAGGTATAATGCACTTTGTCAACATTCACACATAGCTTTAGGAATGCATTGGCCAATCAGAGCAAAGTATAGCCTTGATGCATTATTCTAATGCACATTTTTATTTTGTTTGGGTCTCAGTATCCAGGGTATCTTTGCTAATTTAGCTATATTCCTCTCTGTTTCATCATGTGTGAAAAGGATTTGAACACATTAAACTATCCATAAGAATAACTGTTCGAATAGTAGAAGATATTATGGGTTTATGAACGTATCCATCAAATTGTGAAGTTGTGTAATTGTACATTTTAAAGTTGGCTCCAGCCTTATTTCCAAGGTTGCCACATAGGATTTTGAATTTATCGATTTACACCTAGTTGGGTTAGATTTTCCTTTCTGACCAAAATTTGATTTTCACTGGATAAACAAGTTGAGATTATATTGTGTGTGTTTCAGATGGGTCTATAGGTGATTGGAAAATGGACCAGTTTACATACCCTGTATTGTGTTTGATATGGGTCTATATGTGATTGGAAAATGGACCAGTTTACATACCCTGTATTGTGTTTGATATGGGTCTATATGTGATTGGAAAATGGACCAGTTTACATACCCTGTATTGTGTTTCAGATGGGTCTATAGGTGATTGGAATATGGCCCAGTTTACATACCCTGTATTGTGTTTTAGATGGCTCTATAGGTGATTGGAATATGGACCAGTTTACATACCCTGTATTTTGTTTCAGATGGCTCTATAGGAGATTGGAATATGGACCAGTTTACATACCCTGTATTGTGTTTCAGATGGGTCTATAGGAGATTGGAATATGGACCAGTTTACATACCCTGTATTGTGTTTTAGATGGCTCTATAGGTGATTGGAATATGGACCAGTTTACATACCCTGTATTGGACACCTGGCAGGATGATGATGAACTGGACTCTGTTGATAACCAGTCTGTTCAGATGAGCCTCCTTGAGTAAGTGTTAATACTCAGATTAAACACATATATTTTTATCATACTTAAAAAAGTAAGATATTGTCATCAGCTTAGTGGGTGGGCTGGTGGTGATGTCTCACTTTTTTTCTGGGGATTCCGAGTCCAACATTCATTTTTGACTAACATTATGGGCCTGTTAGTTACTCAATCTTGCATTTGTGTCCATTCATTTGTCCTTTTCTCCCTCTGTCAACCATTTTTACACAAATGGTAACTGCATGCCTATCATCTGAACTAGTGCTCATATTCATTTTATGGGGTTCTACTGGGAATGAATACTAAAATGGTCTTAAGTTGTGCTTTGTTCTTTTTTATTTTAAATTCATTTTTTGCCATTTTTAAAAACATTACATGTACATTAAAAGTATTCAAACAAAACTCCAAAGATATATGGTATGAACTGGTAAAAGAACAACAAAGATACATAAACAAAACAAAGAGGGTCATTGCATGGGCCGTATTCGCCGTAATAAGCGCCCAGGGCGCTTTTGAAATTAAAATACCCATTGTAACCCATTACAAAGAGCGCCCATATATGAGAGAAGTCAAAAATCCCCGGGAATTTCATGTATGGGAATTTTTCTTGCCATACAAGAAAGTTCACGACCTTGACATAACCTTGACAATCGCTGAGTTAGTAAAATGTCTAAACAAATCTCTGAAACGTGATCATTTCCTTCATTCATTATGGACTATTTGAGATAATATTAGCTTAGTATGATGTTGGAAGCACCCAGTGATAGATATTCATAGGGAGGATGCATCGATTTACAAAATGCGTCATGTTTTCTGCATTTTAGTGTGAGCACTCTATTATCGCCCTCTATATTTAAACTTGATTTTTTCCGATATATTCGTTAATACTTGGTCATTCTTCGATATTACTTGAATTCTGTGAAGCGGGGTGGGCACTTATCAGGGGTGGGCCCTTATTACGGCGATTACGGTAATGGATAAAAATGTAAATTGATATACACATATCGTATTCTACTGGACATGTGTTTGATTATGTCACCAAAATTGAATGTGTTTCTTTTCCAGCAGTGTAAATGATAGTGTGGATGATGAGAATGCAATGATCACTGAGCCACTCATCCCTAAGAGGTAAGCAGTAATCTAGTCTTTGTATCATTGTATATTACTCAGTAGACCCCTCTTAAATATGTTTTTGTCTTTTGCAAAAAAGTTCGCATGATATTGTTACGCAGGATCTGGAACTGATGTTATTTCCTGGTAGACATGAAATAAAATTGAAAAACTTCTGAGATGGCCATTTAAAATTTTTTCATTATTGTATTGCTAGATTCAAACTTATAAGACTTCAACCCACATAATGATTACCTGGAATGTCAGTGCTGCAGAAATAACTAATGGATCTAGTGTTCTAGCTTGTATAAATTCAATACGGGTCTAATCCACCTGTTACAGTTCTGATGAAGATCCTTTATCAATTATTTAAAATAAAACATGATTCATCAAATTTGGCTTCATGAAATTGAAAAAAAAACGGAGATTATTAACAGTTTTTTCATGAGTTTATTCAGCCATGTAGATTTAATGGACTTGAGGATTATTAGTTGTGGTAAATCGTACATAGGAATTTTATTGATCTTTTCTCACTTAAAGGTATTCACTGTTTGAAGTTTATGCTTTTTTAATTGTTGCTATTGGCACACCTGGAACAGTATAATACAGGCTTTAACTACACAACCTGGGGGATTACTGTAAGTCATAGATCACCCTTTAAAACATATATATGGCTGCATGGTTTAACCTTTATGTATATCCATATATATTATTTATAACCAATATCATATCTATTTGCCCTTGACATGTATTAGTCCAGCATATGTAATCGTTAATTTATATTTTCTATATTTTTTATTGTTTGTCCCACAACACAATTTACTCTACTGTGCAATATCTATGCTGAGTTACTACCATACTGATCATACCCTTTCCCACTGTTAATTAGATGTGCATCATGGCTTTATTCGTATTGTGCATGGTTGAAAAATATATTTATTTCTGAACAAGTCTATTCATTTTGATTATACTTTTTGATGTACCATCAATATTTTCACCTCTCAGTGTAAAACATGTGTAATATATCAATCCCAACGACAGGCAAGTATAAAACTTCAGAATGAAAACAATACATGTACTGAGACTAACTCCAAAATAATGTTTTTAGGCGCAATGACATAACAGATGTGAATTCTGTCCAAGTACGAGACTTCCAGGTAAATATGTGCCTTTTCTTGTTTTCAAAATGATGACATTGATTTTTTTAATCCAAAATGATTCATAATTAGTTTGGGAAGTTTGGGTCACAATTATAACAAAACCAATGTGTCCCAAAATTTTGGAATGAAATTGTTAGTTATTGCTTAACAAAGACAGTAACAGCCTTTCAAAAGACGTTCAATTATAGAATATTTTGGGCTCATTATATCATTCATTTTCAGATGAACCATGTATGTTTATGTATTTTTCCAGTAATACAGATAGGGACAACATGATTAGGTCAGAAGTACATGTTGCTTTGAATTTTGTCACACCTCCTATTTATATGAATATATATTTATTAAAATGTATATGTTTAGGTCTCTGTGAATATCGTAGAAGGTCAGCAACTGGTAGGGATGGACATAGATCCAGTTGTAAAAGTGAGAGTTGGCAACAAACTTAAGATGACATCAATCAAGAAATCAACAAACAATCCTTACTACAATGAGGTAGGTACAGAGGGATTAATCATTGGATCTCTAGATTATTTACACATAAGGGGTTGGCCATTCAATCTTAGAGGAGGAAAACATCAGTGGTTAACCATTAGATCTCCTCCTGTGTGGGTCCATGTCAGGGGTTGACCATTAGATCTCCTCCTGTGTGGGTCCATGTCAGGGGTTGACCATTAGATCTCCTCCTGTGTGGGTCCATGTCATGGGTTGACCATTAGATCTCCTCCTGTGTGGGTCCATGTCATGTGTTGACCATTAGATCTCCTCCTGTGTGGGTCCATGTCATGGGTTGACCATTAGATCTCCTCCTGTGTGGGTCCATGTCATGGGTTGACCATTAGATCTCCTCCTGTGTGGGTCCATGTCAGGGGTTGACCATTAGATCTCCTCCTGTGTGGGTCCATGTCAGGGGTTGACCATTAGATCTCCTCCTGTGTGGGTCCATGTCATGGGTTGACCATTAGATCTCCTCCTGTGTGGGTCCATGTCATGTGTTGACCATTAGATCTCCTCCTGTGTGGGTCCATGTCATGGGTTGACCATTAGATCTCCTCCTGTGTGGGTCCATGTCATGGGTTGACCATTAGATCTCCTCCTGTGTGGGTCCATGTCATGGTTTGACCATTAGATCTCCTCCTGTGTGGGTCCATGTCAGGGGTTGACCATTAGATCTCCTCCTGTGTGGGTCCATGTCAGGGGTTGACCATTAGATCTCCTCCTGTGTGGGTCCATGTCATGGGTTGACCATTAGATCTCCTCCTGTGTGGGTTCATGTCATGTGTTGACCATTAGATCTCCTCCTGTTTGGGTCCATGTCATGGGTTGACCATTAGATCTCCTCCTGTGTGGGTCCATGTCATGGGTTGACCATTAGATCTCCTCCTGTGTGGGTCCATGTCATGGGTTGACCATTAGATCTCCTCCTGTGTGGGTCCATGTCATGTGTTGACCATTAGATCTCCTCCTGTTTGGGTCCATGTCATGGGTTGACCATTAGATCTCCTCCTGTGTGGGTCCATGTCATGGGTTGACCATTAGATCTCCTCCTGTGTGGGTCCATGTCATGGGTTGACCATTAAATCTCCTCCTGTGTGGGTCCATGTCAGGGGTTGACCATTAGATCTCCTCCTGTGTGGGTCCATGTCATGGGTTGACCATTAGATCTCCTCCTGTGTGGGTCCATGTCATGGGTTGACCATTAGATCTCCTCCTGTGTGGGTCCATGTCATGTGTTGACCATTAGATCTCCTCCTGTTTGGGTCCATGTCATGGGTTGACCATTAGATCTCCTCCTGTGTGGGTCCATGTCATGGGTTGACCATTAGATCTCCTCCTGTGTGGGTCCATGTCATGGGTTGACCATTAGATCTCCTCCTGTGTGGGTCCATGTCAGGGGTTGACCATTAGATCTCCTCCTGTGTGGGTCCATGTCATGGGTTGACCATTAGATCTCCTCCTGTGTGGGTCCATGTCATGGGTTGACCATTAGATCTCCTCCTGTGTGGGTCCATGTCATGGGTTGACCATTAAACCTCAACCTTTTTCCACATCTAAGACTACACTAGACATAAGGAAAACAAACCCAACTAACCCAAACTTGCTTGATTTTTACTATATAGCTTGGCTGAAGAGTTTAATCTCAAAACGTTATGATTTAAATTCTAAATATTATGAGAATGCCCTGCCCCTCCATGCCCCTATATCTACATGTAATAAGCTGGGATACAAGGACCACACATGCTGGGTACAATTTAATAATGCAGCTTCAAACGAATTTATCTGTTTTAATTTGAATATTGTTTGTTTATTTTTTTCAGTACTTTGTGTTTGATTTCCACGCAGCTCCTTCTTTTGTGTTTGACCAAGTGATTTCCCTAACAGTAAGTATATACAGTTTATATAAGCTTACATCATTTATACATGTATAACATTTCATATATATATATGCAGAATTCAATTTATGTTTATCAATTATTTTGTATCTGTTTCTGGTTTATTTCCACTACTGTAAGAGTTGCTCAATGATATCTTTTTATTTCATTTTTATTAAAAACTTTAAAAATATGTAATATTTTAGGGAGGCAAAACATTATGTACTGTACTAAGCTTTTACATTCCATTTCTAAATATTAAAGTATTTCTCACAAGTATACCATTGGATAAAGAAGTCAGTTACCATAATGTGTGTATATTATGTTCTTCATATGTATTATACTAAATAGTATTTATGAAAAATGAATTCTAGGTGATGCATTCATACAACCTCCCTGGTAGAGAGTACACTAAGGCAGTTAACATGGTGGCTGGGAATGTGATTGGAGCATTCAAGATAGATGCAGGAATGGTTTACTCTGCTACAGGTACCGCTTTGCATTATTTCTGTTGTAATACATACTACATAATCAGGCCCGTAAGACACTTTTCTCCAAGGGGGGTGCGGTTTTAACTAAAGAGAAAATAAAATTGTCAATTTTTTGCCGCGTATATCAAATTACGTAAGTCAAAGGGGGGGGGGGGGTTCGGTTACTTCCTATATTTTGTAGTATTTTATTGTTTTCGTATTGTTTTTAGACTAGTACCCCGGACAGGTTGTATGATGCAGTCGTTTTCTTACTCTATATTTGCAATAGAACAACCATTCTTATTGAAATTCTCAAGATTTATTCTAGAGACAATTTCCAACATGGAAAATAAATATTTTATCAACATTTCCAATTTTATGATTTTGACGGGCTTTTTTCAAAAACACTACACTGTATATGAAATACAGGTTTTTGCTTGAACAATTGAACTTTTAACGTCATTTCAAATATTGTCTGGCTATTGAATTTCCGGCCGCCTAAAGTCTTTCCAGATATATATGTTGCCATATTAATAATTATGACTGATTATTGTTATTCACTTGAGTCATATTCAATATTATTACAGTGCATTAGGCCAATAAAAACTTGTTGCTCTGGGTCTCATTTTGTGAAGCGTTTCCTAGATTGAGACCAGATACAGAAGGTCAATCTTCTTGTTCAAGGACATGAGTTCAACCCGGTCTATGTTCAATATTGTCCAAAATGAAGTAAAACATTACGAGTCTCCTATTTGAAGTTTTCTTGGCATTAGATCCTTCTGAGATGGTAATACAGCTGTGTCAAATTTTATCATGAAATTGTCAGTGAGACCTGACATTTTAAAAGCATGGTACAATTTACGTGCCACGGGCTTGCATGCTGAGTGATGGTGGCGGAAAAACCCAGTGGAGAAAAAGATGCGTTTTCAGAGAAAATGTGACCCAGAGTGACAAGTTTTTCATTGGCCTAAAGCACTGTAATAATATTAGGCCTATTGAATATGACAAGTATAACAATTATCAGCCATAATTAATATGGCATCAAATACATCTGGAAAGACTTTAGGCTGTCAAACATTCAATAGCTAGACAATCTTTGAAATGACGTTTAAAGTTTAATTGTTCAAACAAAGCCTGTATTTTATTGACAGTGGAGTGTTTTTGAATAAAGCCTATCAAAATCATAAAATTAGGAATTTCTTTAAAATATTTTTTTCCCATGTTGGAAATTATCTCCAGAATAAAATATGAAAATTTCAATAAGAATGGTTGTTCTATTGCAAATATAGAGTAAAAAAATGACTGCATCATACAACCTGTCCGGGGTACTATATATTGTCACAAGCAATTTGGAGAAACACTGGAATAGGGAGAGGGTGTACTAGAAGGGCATAAATGCCCGAGAACTTTTAACAGTTCAAGATCACATTCAGTGATTTCTGGACCCTTTCAAGGTGTTTTAATTGAAGAAATAGAATCTATTTATAAGAAATTCAGATTTTTTCAATTACTTTCTTCTTAGAGGGGCAGAAAGGAAAATTTTACTAATTCAAGATGCTGTCTGGTTAATTCTGAGCACTTTTAATGTGTTTGAATGCTTTAGTTTTTGGGGTGGGCTGCAAGAAAGTTTTATGTTTTATGATTTCATTATGTCACATTGTGACTTCTAGGCACTTTTAAAGTGTTTAAAATTAACAAATGCAACTTCCAAACTTGTGAGGAGTGACCCACTTCCCCTAGAAAATTTTACACTTTTGAGATGCCATTTGGTGCTTTCTGGGCACTTTTAAAGTGAATGAGTCAATAAAAAAATGTGAATTTTTTTTCAAATTCTATTTGGGGATGTCAAAGAGAATGAGAGGGTGAAGTGGGATGGAGTGCCAGAGGGGGAGCAAAGGTTTGTCCCCAAGAAACAATGACCATATCAAGGTGCCATTTGATGATGTCTGGGCACTTTAAAAATGTCTGAGACAATACATGAAATTCAAAATTTTCTCAATTGTTTCGTGGGGGATATGAGGGGTGGCCAACTCTTCTAGAAAATTTTACAATTTTAAGATGATATTTGGAGCTTCTGGGCACTTTTAAAGTCAATCGAAAAAAAATTGAAAAACTATTACATTTTTTCAATTATTGGGGGTGTCAAAGGGGGATGCCAGAGGGGGAGGTGGGAATAGGGTGCCAGAGGGGGAGCAAGTGTTTTTCCCCCATATCTGCCCCCAGAAACATTGACCATATCAAGGTGCTATTTGATGAAATCTGGGCACTTTAAAAGTGTCTGAGACAATGCATGAAATAAATTCAGAATTTATGTCAATTGTTTTGTGGGGGATGTGAAGGGTGGCCTACTTCCCTGGAAATTTTTCAATTTTAAGATGCTATTTGGTGCTTTCTGGGCACTTTCGAAGTGTATGACTCAATAAAAAATTTGAAAAAATCAAACAATATTTTGGGTGATGTCAAAGGGGGAGAGGGTGCCAGAGGGGGAGGTGGGGTGGTAATGCAAGAGGGCTAGTAAGTGGGGGTGTCAAAGGGGGGTGCGGTCGCACCCATCGCACCCCTCCATCTGACGGGCCTGATAATCATGTTTTTGAAGGCATATCATGGATTTGGAGATCAGGGGCCATTGTTGGGACTTTAAAACAATTACGAATTTCTATTTATTTTAAAATCTTTTGCTGAAAGCTGCAAAAAGTGAATTTGCTCCAAACATGATGTTGTAAATGTCTGTTGTGAATTGTGAGAGGATGTCTGTCTAAGTTGTCAACCAATTATTGGATAATTTACTCACATTCACAGTCTTTACAGGTATAATTATTATCCACAGTTTTCAAAGTTTTGATAATATTTAAGTGCCCAGAATATACAAAAGTAGACTTTTAAAAGGTATACCAGAAGATAAGGTCTTTAAACCTTAAATAAATAAATATCCTAAGAATTTTCTTGAATTCAGATCACATGTTTTACCACAAGTGGGCTGCCTTGATTGACCCAAAGGACATCAATGGAGGAATAAAAGGTTACCTTAAGGTAGACATACAAGTAGTGGGCAAAGGGGACAAGATAAAGGTACCTACCAAGCCAGATGTTGATGAGGATAATATTGAAGCGTAAGTGAATATTATGAGATTCAGGTAGCCATTCAAAACAGCAAGCGCATTTAAGGCCCTATGCAAAATTTGAAAATATTTTTTTATCATTCAATTATAATTTCTTTTGACGACAAAGTTCCTTTAGACTCAAAAATCTGATTTTCCTGCAATTTTAATAACAAAAGCAAATATTGTTTTTAAGGTTGTCATATACTTCAGTTGTACAACACATTATTCAGCTTTGAATAGATGGTGTGAGGCCTTTAATTAAAATATATTTAGTTTAAGTAAATGAAGCAACATCAAAATTTAGGGAAACTGAATCTTCTATCGTTCAGAGTAACAATATGATTTTAGCCAATAAAGCATGCCATGGTTTTAATGATTTATATGTTTTACTGGTGTCTGTAACAAATGGCATGTTGTGACATTTTGCATGTTAATGCGTAGTCTTAAATATGATTCAATTTCAGGAACCTACTGATTCCTAAAGGAACGACAGCTGATCGTCAAACTGCAAGTTTCTCTGTAAGAATTCACAAGGCGGAGGATCTGCCCAAGATGGATTCTGGGATCGTGGCTAATCTGAAAAAATCAATGACAATTATAGGGCCAAAAGCATATATTGACCCTTTTGTAAGGGTTTCCTTTGCTGGGAATTCTGGAAGGACATCTATAGTGAAAAGTTACGACCCTGAGTTCAATCAACAGCTAGTGTTTACCGATATGTTTCCTCCATTGTGTAATAGAATGAGGATAGATCTTTGTGACTCAGACGCCATGATGGATGATACCATAGCAACCCATTTTCTCGACCTGGAAAAGATGAGCAATGATGGAAATGATGGTATGAAGAATATAAATTGTAACATGATAAAGGATAAGACAATATGACAATAAAAACTAGAACAGCAGAAATTCTGTAAATCATTAATACTTGTTCTCTGTTAAATCAATTTGATAATCATTACTAAATTAAAATTCGGCAACAAAGTTTAAAGTAGTGCAATTTTTATTTTTTGTTTTATATTTACATTTTATGTGATGACTTTTATGATTGGAAGACCCTGATTATTCCTAGTAGGAGGACAATGGAACAGAAAGTCTATTACTGTAAAGTTAGGTGACTTTCAGAAGGTTGATAAAGTTTTGATTCTTGTAGGTTTCTTGCCAACATTTGGTCCATCTTGGATCTATATGTATGGCAATACTCGCAAGTACAGTGCTGTGAGTGCTCTAGACAAAGTTACTAACTCTGAGGCGGCGGGCATGGGGTCCACATATAGAGGGCGCATTCTCTTATCAGTCAAGACAGAAATCATGGACTCTACGATAAGTGGACCTTCACAATGTTCCAAGTCTGCTGCTCTTCCAATCTCAGAGGTACATATGTACATTCATCCACCTAGTAAAGCAACAATGTACACTGCACATATTTTTAATGTTATTTTGAATAGATTAAAATGACATTCAAACATAGGGTGTAACATTTAAATGTTCAGTTGTTTATCTTAAATTTATAGAATGCTCCAGGACCAAAAGAGGACTTTTTCTTATTTGGATCATTATTAGAGGCTACCATGATAAAGAAAGAGATTGGCAAGAAAGCTCAGGACCCAAAGTTTCCAATTTATTTTGAGTTTAGTATGGGTGAGTAGCTTAAATCAGGTGTTGTATTAGTCTATGATTAGTCTCATTATTATTTCATTTACTAAATTATGATTCAGAGTGTCCCTTTAAATTATTTATGAAATACATCATATTCAATGTGTATGTATTCAATTCAGTGAGTTCAATGTATGACCTCACTCTATGGTCAAACATCAAAAATCAAACATTTTTCAAAATAGCTAATTTAAAAACCTGTTTATGTTATAGAAATGTCCATATTATCTGCATTATACATGTAAATATGTACATGTACAAACATGTATGGTTACAAAATGAGTTTGATTCATATAAAGACCTTCTATGATCCAAAACATTATGTTTGAGCAGCAAGTGTATTGGGTAAGTATTGTATATGAACTTCTCTACAAGGATCAGAGAAGAGTTAAGGATATTGTGTTGATGGAAAGTGTGGAATTGAGCATGTCTGGGTCTACTTGTATATCTAGGTTTGTGTTCTTTATTTTGATATTTAGCTTTATCTCAGACCTGATAATAATTTGCTAAAATAGGTCCTGATGAGTCTTGTTTCCAGCCAAACTGTTTGAGGGATTCACCTGAATGTGTTCTCCCTACAAATGTTTAGAACTGATTACTTTTGGGGCATTCTGGGTAAATGATAAAGTGGCCATTTTGGATTTTTCATCCTAAAATCTTATCAGTCAAGACTTGTCTACAGGTTTCCAGCCAAACCTCTGAGGGATTCATCTTAATTTTTCAGGAATGTTTCTATGTATGACAGTTTAGAAGATTAGTTTTTGGGCAGTCTGGGTAAATGTTAGGGTAGCCATTTTGGATTTACCGTCCCGAAAACTGTCTATTGTATTCAAGGATGAGATTCTGTTCACTCTGTGTCTTCTTGGTATTATAGTGTCAATAATTTCCACTTCTAGGTGTTTATGTAAAGTGTACAAAAACTGGGACCCAAGAAGGTACACCAGTGTTATGCCTGGGTCACATATGCCCCGATCCATCAGCCGGCGCCTGGCCTATTGAGTGTTTTGTTCAATATTGTATTCAATCTTGAACAAAATATTCAATCGGCCGGTCGCCGTAGTGAAAATCGGAGCAAATGTGACCATAGCATTACATAGAATGCTATTATAGAATAAGTGACACAATATACACGTACACATTTCAGAATGATAATAATAACCTATAATCATATTTAAGGCTGAGTGTTTCTTTATTATCCCAACGAACGAGATCCCAACGAACGAAGTTCGGTAGGGATATAGTGAAGCCCTCCGTTTGTCCATCAGTCAGTCCGTCTGTCCGGAAGATAACTCAAATACTGGTTGACGGATATTGGTGTATTGTATATTGGTGAATAGTTTTACCCCAAAAAAATTTTTTTCAATATGACCCCCAGGGGCCATGTATGGGGGGGTCAGGAAAACAGAAATTTTCGCTAATTTTTAGATCTTTCTGAAGTATAGCTTTATTATACTCAAATGAAAGGCAATTAAGAGTAGATTGCAAATATTGTATCTTTTTTCTGATTTGAGCCTCGTAAAATTCAAAATGGCCGTCTAATGTACGATTTCGCAATAATTTTTCGATCCCTTCAAAGTATGGCTATATTATACTCAAATTGAAGCAATTTTGGAGTAGATCACAATTATGGTATTATTTTTCAGATTTGTACCTCAGAAAATTCAAAATGGCTGCTTTGCAGAAATTCGCAATTCTAAAATCTAAATTTTTCAATTTTAACCAAAGTAATGAGTATAATTGATTGGAATTCGGTAATTGATATTTTGTTCGTTGGGATTTGCTACTCCTACTTTATTTAGCTCAATGATTTAACTGAACAAATTCATATTTTGTTGTTTATTTTCTTTGCATGCTCGAGGCATTATTAATGTTATGTGTACATGTATTTGAAAATGCATGCTGTTTCAGTTAATATTTCTTTGGAAATGCAAAATTTGAATGAATGAAACATCTCTAAAATAACTTTCAAAGTCATGAACAATAGTAAGTTCGCACGAGGCCTTTAAGAACATTTTATTCGTAGCTAAGTGTTGTAATAATTTGTATTTACCATTTCACTTGCAGCTTAGGTTGTAAATGATTCCATTTTACCAATAGTGTACAACATTTTACTTTCAACCGTTGTTAGCAATGATTTCACTTTACCAATATTGTACAGCATTATACTTTCAGCAATTGTTGGAAATTATTCCTTTAAATCAATATTGTACAAAGCTTTATCAATGTTGTACACCACTTTACTTGCAACTTGTTTTGTAAATGATTCCACTTCATCAATATTGTACAACATTTTACTTTCAGCTGTTGTTGCAAATAATTCTGTTTTACCAATATTGTACAACATTTTACTTGCAGCTTGTGTCATAAATGATTCCACTTTACCAAGATTGTACGACATTTTACTTTCAGCTATTGTTGTAAATGGTTCCAATTTACCAATATTGTATGGGATTTTACTTGCAACAATTATGTAAATGGTTCCATTTTACCAATATTTTACGCCATTTTATTTCAGCTATTGTATGAAATTTTGCTTTCAGCTATTGTTGTAAATGGTTCCACTTAACCAATATTATCCGGAATTTTACTCGCAACTGTTTTTGAAAATCGTTACACTTTACCAATATTGTACGACATTTTACCTTCAGCTATTGTTGTAAATGATTCCACTTCACCAATATTGTACAACATTTTACTTGCAACTATTGTTGTAAATGGTTTCACTTTGCCAATATTGTATGACATTTTACTTACAGGTATTGTTGGAAATGATCTGGACAAGAAGCCTTCAAACGACATTTTTGACCTGCCATTAGGTGACGACGATGATGATGAAGAAGGTCGTCAAAAGATTATAAAGAAAGATTCACTTCCACATGATAGTACCACAAAGCCTGGGAAGCCTCTCACTGAGGATGGAAACTATTATCATATGCCTTACAGCGGTGACAAGCCTTGTGTTTATCTGAGGGGCCTCTATGAAGATAACCGCAAGAGACTGTACAATACTAATGCTATAGAAAAGATATATAAGAAAATGGTTAGCAGAAAAATATTTGAGATATATTGAATTTTTGTCAATCCAATACTATAAGTTACTGAATGATTTGAAGTGCAATACAGGATATATTCTAATCAAGAAATTCTGTATTGGCACGAGATGAAGTCGATTGCCAATACTGAATATCGAGGGCAGAATATATCCTGTATTGCACTTCAAATCATTCTATAACGTTTCAATTGTGATGAGTGTGATCCTCTGTATTGCTACTGAGAATGTCCCCTCTTACCAATTTTTCTGTATTGCGACGGAGATGATCAATGGGGACAATCTCAGTGGCAATACAGATTGGTACAGCACAAGAATTGACCAATCAGAAGGCTTCATTTTACAGATCATACGATAAAATTGCATATTGCTCTATTTAAACCAGTATCATGTTTTTTACTGTACAGTAATGTCATTCTAACAAATGCCTACTCAGATGTACATGTATGATATATAAATGTACGTTGTTCAAGTATTTGTGAAACTGCATTGTTTTACAGGATGAAGGTTTAGAGGAGTTGACGATGATGTTAGCACTGGAAAAGAAGTACCCAGAGAGGCGACTGAGAGGTATAGTAGCAGAACTTATCTTGAGCTGTGAAAGATATGTCAGCCAGTTTAAGGGACAGGAGGCACAGGGAAGAACATCACTTGACAAGGAGAGGTTCCGCATGTGTATTGGTAGAATAGTAAGTCCAGGCATAGTGTCTCTATATATAGTGTCCTATATTTTGGTATTTACAAGTATGTTCTAATACATATGTAAGTGAGCAATAATTTGTTTGTGTAAAACAGTGAGATTTGTAAATGGACTAAAAACTTAAATGGACTTAAACTTCCTATCACCAATAATTTTGCATGCATAGTAGCTTAGTGATATATTAGAAATAATATTGTCTTTGTCCTTTACAAGTCTTTCATGTTTATCACTGATAACTGTCACTGAGGTTGAATTCATAACTACTGTCATAGGAGTTGTATATTATTTTGCAGGATAAAGCAAAGAGAGAGCTTACAAAGATAAATAAGAAGATAACAAGTGAGAATGTCAAGCAGAAGATACGTGATCTGAGAGCAATGGCCAAAAAATTAAAATTCCTAGCAGATGAGGTATGAGTTATATTTACTATTTAATTATATTGACACTTAGTTTAAAGACAGAGAGTAACCAATGAATAGTACAATTGAATAAATATCAGAATATATTTCTTTTCACCATGTACAAAAAACAAGACATCATACATTTCAATGCATGTCACAGACCCCACATGAAAAGGAATACTGTAACAGTTATGAAAGTGAAGAGATGATATAACGAATCATTCACCTACATCTAAAGTGAGTTACATTTATTCTATTTATTTATTTGTAGCCCCAACATGTTCTGCCAGATGTATTCATATGGATGATCCAAAATGGCAAGAGAATTGCATTCCAGAGGATCCCTGCAAAAGAGCTGATTTATTCTGTCAATGAGGATGAACGTGGGAGACTCTGCGGAAAAGTTCAAACGTTGTTCCTTAGAGTAAGAAACAAAAATTATAAGTTTTAACTCAGTATTTTTTTTATTTTCATGCTGCATATGTTCTTAATATCCTCGATCAGTAGTGTTCTATAGATTTCAGAATCCTCTCAACCTACAGAATAATGTTGCTCTTTATGTACATTTATGTGCTTTAAAATAATAAATGACTTTTATAACATTTTCTGTCCTCTTGAAAGTTTTCAAAATGATCTCAATTTTCTTGTAAAAATTAGAACAATTTCTTAACACATTTTTTAATTATCTCTTCCCAATACATGTAAAATAATAATATTTGTAAAATTATAATTTCTTCCAAATACTTGTACAAACTTGTAAAACTTATTTCATCCTATCATATTACTTGAATGACAATAACTTCTATTCTTTCATATAGATTGTTTAATTGGCATTTATTTCAACATAACACTTTGAGAAAAAATCTTCCTAACATATTTTAAAATATTTTTGAAACACATTTTATATTTTCCTCAAAAATGTAAAAATGATGATAATTTATAGGATGGGAAGTTCGATCAGCTGACACAACGGGTTGTAAGTTATTCAATACAGTGTCATGGTGTATAGCACATGTAGAGTAGGGCTTATATTAAATAAATTAAAGACAAAGCCCTCTCAGGCTCTCACATTACACGCAATATCACCAGCAAAAATAACTGACGGAAACAACCAGTACTTAATTTGCAAAAATCTTCAGCGAATCACCATTAGCTTTCCTAATTGTACTAATCATATTTTTAGTAGATGTATTATATCATATACTTATATGAGGTTAATTGGTAAGGGATTCCGTTACTTGAGTCTTACCTTTAATCCAAAGCTTTATTTTCACACAGCTTTACTATAACATACATTATTTTAATAGTGTATGTTTTATATTGGTATTTATGTTTTAATAATATGTATAATAAAATTTTGTTTCATACACTTAACATATGCAAACCACACAGCAGTTTACACACAATTTTAACGCTATTACTGTTTATGAAAAGGGCTCAATCTTTAACCCAATCCTGGATGAAAATACTAAAGTTTAATACATCATTGGTTTTTGGTCTCCTGAGGTAGATTGTATATAGAGGCCAATGCACTAGTCGCAATTGGTACATTGACCTAGTATATAGGTTCCTTGTACATGGGGGCCCTAGTTTGAACATGAGCTAAATACTGTTATTGAACTGTTATTTTCCTTTACATGTACTTGTATGTCTCAATTTTAGGTTGTAGATCATCCATTCATCTTGAAATGTTGAAAGTATTTAATACCTGGGGATTTGTGATATGGATGTTTTTTTGAAAGTTTAACACCATGTATTTTGTACTTATATATTACATGGTTTGGATTATAAAATGTTCACTTCTATCAATCAAAATAATTCTCTAAAAAAGCTGCAATTTTATTTCCTTTATTGAGCTATATTTTTATATTTTAGCTTCCTGGTGTTCTGACTACAGTGCCAAATGGATGGGCCATTCAGGCTAAGCTCCAGGTAAATATATCATGTAGAACATTCAAATAAGCAGCATACTTTTGGTGACATTTTGCATCTTTTAGCCCAAGTATTTGATATTAATTAGATACATTCCTTTTAAATTCTGTATATGCGATATGAAAACGAATAAGCTTCCCTTTTGTATTGTATTTTGTTGCTTCTCTGAAGGTTTACTTCTGGTTAGGAGTCTATAAGAACAAGAGAACCTACCTTGATGGGCTGCCCAAGGGATATACTTCCACTCCAGAAATAAAGAATGCTCAAACCTTGCCTCCAACTGTCATTCAATATAAATGTAAGAAGAATACTGTAACGTACTATTGTGAAATTATTTTCAAAATGTTAAATGCAATGGGGGACCATTGGGTGTAAGAACTATCAATGAAATTATACATGCCATCTAACACAGTACTGATCTCATTTAACGTATAACATGCATATTTAAGAAGGAAAATTCTCATTTACAGCAAAGCAGGTATTTCAACTACGAGCATACATTTATCGAGCGAGAGGTTTGATTGGCTCAGATGACACTGGCCTGTCAGACCCTTTTGCAAGAGTGATCATGGGTAATGGATGCAAAAAGACTCAGGCGAAACGTGAAACTCTGAATCCTCTCTGGGAAGAGGCTATCATTGTGGATGATATTGAAATATTTCGTCCTGCCGATGATATCGTTGAAGATCCACCAACAGTGATGGTTGAGATCTATGACTGGGACCATGTGGTAAGATATTTCACCATGAATAAGTATTAGATACAAAACAATGGTTTATTATGTCACCACCAGAAGTGTCATTTGGCATTCAGTGTCTTTAACAAATGGTAGGTAGTGACATTTTGCATGTGAATACTTTGTTATGGTTGTGTTGATTTATTTATAAGCACAAGAGCTATGTTATAAAAGCAGAATAACAGAATGAGGAGAACTACAAAATATGGCAAGAATAAGAATCATCATAACCCTCAATATTAAGAAATACGATTGAATACAAATCAATCAATCAATCAATCAATCATTCAATGTATGATTCATTTGATATCTGGTGTCCTGTTGTTTAGATTTATGGTTTCGTATTTATTTTTATTTTTTTTATTCAAGTTTTAGGTTTACATTATAATGTAAGGTTACATGATAATACAGTCAATACAAATATAATTAAGGTCGCTCATTTATTTATAAGAATGTATATAAGGGGGGTTACAGGTTATGGTTTCTTGTATGTATGATCAGTGTCTTTTTACAGGGTGACCCAGAGTTTATTGGGCGTACTATTGCTGTCCCCGCTGTTAAGCTTGCATCTGTTGCTTACACTGAACCTGATTGGCCAGCCAAACTTCAGTGGCTAGAAGTGACTCGGGGTGAAATATTTGGAGGACAAATTCTTGCCTCATTTGAGCTGTTACAGGTAAGAGTCAATTAAACAGTAATTAGCATGTCAATCAGTTTTGAGTTGCAAAAAGAGTTGTGCTGAGTTGCAATCTGTGCTGTGCTGAGTTGCAATCTGTGTTGTGCTGAATTGCCATCAGTGTTGTGCTAAGTTACAATTCAGATACAGTGTACATGTACATTAAATTCTCCAAAATGCTATTTTATATTTTACATGTAGGGATCCAAGCATCTGCCACTGCCAGAGGTGCTCAATCAAGCTGAAATAGAAAAGGCTGCTTTAAAGAAAGTAGTGATTGAGCCCATATACTCCATTCCTCCATCTATTCTTCCAAATCTGGTCTCATATCGCATAGAGGTATGTCAACATTCAAATCATTTATTTATCATGTAATTATTATTTCAGATTTATGATTCATTTTGGTGGCATAATGACATATGTCCTAATATTTACTTTATCAAAAATGGGACATTTAGATTCTTAGCCTAAATAATATTGAATAAAACATATGCATATGTATTGTATAAAGTATTTTATAACTCAATATTGTTTCTTTTAGACATTATTCTGGGGTGTGCGTTTAATGCGTCGTGTACAGCTGCTGTCTGTCAGCAGCCCAAGAGTGGACATAGAATGCAATGGAGTGAGACTAAAGTCAACAATAATACCAAATGCATCCAAACATCCAAACTTTACTGTTGATTACCTGCAGTATGTAGATGTGGTAAGCCAGAGAAAGAAATTCTTCATTTCTATTCTTATTTTCAAAACAATAAGTAAATAATTAAAGGCATGAGCCTAACACTAACTGATGCCTGGAGTACTGCATATGATGTATTTAATGTATGGTAAAACCTGTGTATGTGGAACAATTATTACAGAGGTTATATATAATGCAGCATTATTTTAATGGGTCATTGGACTCTGAAAAGTGTTCCACTAATGGAGATGTTTTACTTACAGAAGTATTCCACTTTACAGTTTTAAATATACCACATGTGTACCATATACATGTATGTACCATATACATGTATGTACCATATACATGTATGTACCATATACATGTATGTACCATATACATGTATGTACAGTTTTAAATATACCACATATGTACCATATACATGTATGTACCATATACATGTATGTACCATAATGACACCAGAATTTTTCTCATGTAGGATCTCCCTGAAAACCTAAGCTATTGGCCTCCTATTGTTATCCACTGTGTGGATTGTCGCAACTTTGGACGTGAGGTCCTTGTTGGGACTGCAACGGTGCCTCACCCACAGAAGTTCATGCACAAGGAGGTCAAGGCAATCACCGAGGTTACAACGGACACAGGAGGGACACCTCCTGGGGGTCCTGCACCTCCCCCTGGGAGTGTTCATGGTAGTCGACCTGGGACACCACTTACCAATGGGCGTCCTGCCAATGGGCAACTACCAAGCAATGGGCATCAACTAGGGAAACAATCTAAAGATGATAAAGGAAGTGTCAGGAGCTTATTGTTTGGAGGTATTATCTGTTATTATACACATTCATTAAGAGGTTTAAGTATAGTTTAGGTGAATTTAGATATTAATTATATTCAATTTGATAAACTGAACATAAACTTTTAATTTCAGATTTTACAGAGTTTAAAGGTTTTCTGATAATTAGAAATTATGACAGATTGTTTATTGTTACATTGTGACTGTGAATGCATTATATGCATGCAGGTAAATCCAACAAAGGCTCCCATGCTGGGTCTGTCAAAGGGGATACCAAACCTGCTGATGTTGCCATCACAATAGAGGAGACAAGTCCAGATGTTGGTTTCAAACCTGATGCAAAGCCATCTGATCCTAATGCAGGGGGAATAGACAATATGGTATGCTTTTTATAAATGATTCATTTCATTTTGAGACATTATTTAATATTGTCCTTAATTCCACCATCAAAAATTGACGAGTCAGCAATTGTAAAATTAATATAATTATTGTATACTATGTTTGATTACATCAATGTTGAAATCATGGAATATTTTACAAATTTACAATGATCCCTAAGAATGAACATCTTACATGGAACCTCTTAATAATTGTAACCTTATATGTGTTTATTAAGATTGCCAAATTGTAAAATCACATTTTATTTGTAAAAATGATCTAATTTCAAAGAGACTATAGACAAAATAAGATGACATCTTTATATATGACAATATCTCATTTGATACATGCTATCTAAAGATGACATCTTTTTATATGACAATATCTCATTTGATACATGCTATCTAAAGATGACATCTTTATATATGGCAATATCTCATTTGATACATGCTATCTAAAGATGACATCTTTATATATGGCAATATCTCATTTGATACATGCTATCTAAAGAGAACATCTTTATATATGACAATATTTCATTTGATACATGCTATCTAAAGATGACATCTTTATATATGGCAATATCTCATTTGATACATGCTATCTAAAGATGACATCTTTATATATGGCAATATCTCATTTGATACATGCTATCTAAAGAGAACATCTTTATATATGACAATATTTCATTTAATACATGCTATCTAAAGGGTATAGAGACAGAAGAGGTTGATTATGTTGAGAGGGAAGTAATGTGTACCAAGAAGCGAGGTAAAAAGATGACAATCAATGAAATGGACCATCTAGACTGGTGGTCCAAGTATCATGCAACATGTAACGATTGGGAGAAGGTACAAATGGCCCATTATGAAATATGCATTTTGTTTTATATTCTAGAATGTGGCATGCTTAGAGTGCATAATTAAGCAATGCAATGTCATGCTGTGATAGTGTATGGTGCCTTGTTTCCCTTCCATTTATTCACTTACCCAATGAATAGGGAGAACATTAACAGAATGGCTTCTGAGGAGTAATTACTTTGAAAGAGGACTTCCTCATGGCATGTTATTTTTGCAAGCATCTTAATTTCTACAATAGGGCAATTCTTGAAATTACCATGCAGCAAATAAGTGATTTTACTATTTCAAATAGGAATGATATAGAATTTTCTGAATTTAACAAGCCCATGTATAAATTTGAAAAATCGCATATAAAAAAACAACTGATATCACATTTTGTGAATGATACTTTATAATAACATAAATCATAATTCAAATAACTTTCTCTTATTATCCTTTTCATCTCGTGATTCTCTTCCTGATACTGCATTTTGTCCTGTCTACAACATTTCCGCATGTGCATCTGCTAAAGACAATACTAGATGATTCCATTTGAATGGCCTCTTTCTGTCAATTTTGAGTTTTATTCAAAATATGTACTTCATGCAATATAGTGTTTTTTCCTAAGTTGTATTAGTCTTTACTTAAATTCTTGCTCTTCATCATTTAGTCTCTAGCTCATTCCCATGCTGGATGCTATGATCAAGTCTTTCTTTGTCATTGTCTGCAAGTCAATGTCCATAGTTAAAGTTATTGATTGGTCTTGCTTTTAAGTTTTTTATAATGCATAGTATTTCTATATTTTATATTTTCCCTACTCTTCCGTATGGACCATGACCAAAATCAACTGAGGATGCAATGGGGACAGATTAGAGTTGCAATATATCAAGATTTGAATATAATTATTATAGCTTGTTGTGAACTGTTGTTAAGATATATAATCCAAATATTGTCTAGTCAGTATACAATACAACCCTATATATAGTTGAGTTTGAGGGACAAAACATCTGTAATCACATATACCTTTTAACACATAAGCATTTCTCCAATCACATACTATATTATCAGAAAAACAATTCTCCAAAATTTTTAGATAAGGATTTATCCGTTTTGTTTTTGTCAATCAAAAGCTTCTGCTACGTATAGGTTGATCAGTGTTTTTTAGTATGGGTTGGATGGGTCTAGATCTGAAAAATCAAAGTCCAAGTTGAGCTAGACAGTACTTTGTATTGAGAGCGAAATTTTACCAAATGATGGCATTTGGCCAAATGAGGAGATCTTTGCAAAATACAACCATGACAGTGTGTAAAAACCAACTTACTGCATACCTAAAATGGAGTTATTTCAACTATAATTACAAGGTATTCCCATATATGCTCATGAAACTCATATCCAAAACCTCCCACAACATACAACCCTCATATAGTTTAGTTATATAGATGTCTCCTACATGTAGATATGGAGTGAATCTTTTCTTGTCTTTAATTGGCTAATTAGGGATTTGAGAGTCCAGATGAAGAGCCACTAGAGGAGGAAGAACAGGATGGTAGGAAACCGTCAAAAGAAGAAATGGAGATACTTGATTGGTGGAGTAGGTACCACGCCTCCCTTAATGATTACGAGAAGGTATTTTTATGCATATTTACACAAAAATAGAGATTTTTGCTTATAGGTTGCATAATTCAACTCTTGCTTATTAGTATATTTTAGTAACTGCAGTTAATCTTCATTGATATACACATTATACAATTTTGCGTCTTTGCCATGAGAAAATGTTTCTTATGCATTTTATTCTGACATTTTTAGCTGTTCAAGAGTTTTGACGAAACTTTGATCTAGTACTATATGCTCCGCAGTTATTCTGCAGCAAATTTGAAAAATTGAATTGTGAGACTAGTGCACATGCTTCATTAAAATATGACATGCTTATATTTCTTTTATTTTAACCACTCAAATCTGCACCTAACTAGGCACTACAAAGGCAACTTGCTAAAAGGAAGAAAGTAAGTACACACATTAGTCATATGTAAAGTATTGTTTCAAGCCCTTGTGACAACCCCGACACATCTCGCCTCCAAAATGTGAAGTTTATAGGTGAGGGGGGGGGGTCCAAAGACTTGATACAGGACTTACACGGGTAGGATGCAATGGATTATAGGTCCCATTTAAATTTTTTGTTGATGCAAATCAGGACCATTGTTACATCACCCAATATAGTACTATAATTCCTTGCATACTACTTGGGTACATAAAACTAATTAAACGCTTATGCACAAATGTTGACATTTCTGTGTGATATTGATTCCAGGCATACACATGTATATTATCCAATCATATTGTTTTATTATCCCCAACGAACGAAGTTCAGTAGGGATATAGTTTCAGTACGGATATAGTGAAGCCCGTCCGTCAGTCAGTCCATCAGTCCGTCTGTCCGTCTGTCTGTCCTGAGGAAAACTCAAATACTAGTAGACGGATTTTGTTCATATTTGGTTGAAAGATTTATATTGGTTAATAGGTTGTAGACAACAAAAAAATTTCCAAGATGACTGTTTTTTCATTTTAAACCAAAGTAATAAATATTATTGTTTGAAATTTTGGTTCTATATACAACATCTATCTATTCATATATATTCCGAGTTTTTCACCATGACCCTCTGGGACCGTGTATGGGGGGTCGGGAAAACAGTAATTTGCGTTCATTTTGAAATCTTTCTTTCTTTATTTGGGATTTCACAATAATTTTCTGATCTCTTCGAAGTATGACTATATTATTCTCAAATTGAAGAAAGTTTAGGACAGATCAGTGTTATGGTATTGTTTTCCTGATTTGTGCCTCAGAAAATTCAAATTGTCTTGATTATTTGTGCCTTTGAAACTCTTAAATGGTCACCCGAGTACTTAAATTGGTAGACATTCTTATATATCTAATGTTTGTATATTTTGTGACAAATACAGATTCATGTATATTATTGTGTTTGTTGGGACTTGCTACTCCGTGGAGCTGCCGTCTTCTAGTTCCTTAAAGGAATATTCCTTGCCAAACCATCTCTCTCCTCATATGGTAGCTATAACCATACATATGCTTGCCATGTTTAGCAAAACACGCAAAAATGTTTTGATATGGTCAAATTTGATCATTTAGAAATGTGATGCTCAATTCCAGTAAGCTGCCATCTTTTAAAAGTTCACACAGGAAGTGATGTCATCGACTCTCAACTTTGCATATAGCATTAGGTGAGGAGCTATTAAGAATTACAAAATCAGCTAAATATTCTTTTTCAACTTTGTATCTTATTTAATCCTTCTGAAAATCTCTTCTTTTATTCTAAGTTGACAAGCCCTGAAAATATTTTTGCACAGAAAGTAATGATCACTTGTCTAGAAGTGATTTTGTGCTACTTTCCTATACTGTTATGGGCAAGGTTATATAAGTTGAGAGTTGATGACATCACTTCCTGCAAGAACTCTTAAAAGATGGCAGCTCACTGGAAATAAGCACTAGATTTTTAAATGATCAATATTGACCATATTAAAAAATTTTCCCATGTTTTGCTAAATATGGAAACTATTATATGATTATAGCTACCATATCAAGAGAGAAAGGGTCTGGCAAGGAATATTCCTTTAATGAAATGAATGGGAATTAATCATGAATATTCAGGAATAATTCAATTCATGGAAATTCATGAAATTTGTTCATGAATGATTACTCAATGCAGAATAAATATACATGGGTAATTAATGAAAATATGACTGAAATACCATTTGGACTTTTGAAATACATCGTATTCATGAAATATTCATAATATGCTGTTCCTAAATATTCTTGAAATATCCCCCTGGATCGGCCCCATATTTCTTGAAATATTCATCAACTATTTATTCATCATGTTATTGTATTCATGTCTTATTATAATTCTTCAAAATTCATTTTATATATTTTTAACATTTTTTGTCATATGAAGAGACAAAATGAAGAATTATGATGGAAAGTAATTTATTCTTCAATATTCATCAATGAATTCCTGACAGTTCTTGAATTATATTGCATTAATTTCAATAATTTCAAAGATTTCTTAATAATTCCTCAGTTATTTAAAGTCAGAGTACGATGTATTTTCTCAACACACTGGCCTATAATGTTTCCATATCATTGTTGTTTATCATTATCATTGTCATCATTATTTTCATTTGTTAGGATGTAGATGTCGTACAGGTATATAAATATGTACATGTACTGTTATGCTAAATGTGAATTATTTCTTAATATGTTTTGTGTGAACTAGGAAGACCCTGAGGAAAAGGATGATGACGATGATGATCCAACTGACGCTGACAGTGAAGAAGGTGAGACTGATTCAAATCATTGAAAGATGGCAATGTTATAAGTCTGCCTAGATTGCTATTTATGAAATTATATAACAATATAACAATGAGCTGCTTAGATAAAAAAAATTGAATGAATTTAAAAATATTGTATTTAAATAGTAGCAGTTACTTAATGATTTAAGACCAGAGCTCGATGAATTTTGCTTGATTTTAAGCAAGTGGGTCTTGAGACTGTAACAGAAGCCCAAATTCAGAATGTAGCATACAAGACACAAAAAGTGCATTACATCATTAACAAGTCATTGAGTTATGAACTCAAATTCTTAAATTTCACAGGTAACAAGATATTTTGTGCAATGTCAGTTAAAAATGAATGATGGTCAACCAGAAACATTTTTGCAAGGTCAACATTTCACATACTGTACATAAGCTGCATGCAACATATATACAATGTCTGTTGTAAAATATAGAATGCATATTGTATGTGTAAAAGGTATATTTCTAAAGTTTTAAATGACATCCTGAAACAGTTTCTCTTGTAAACATTTTACAGAGATGATGATCGTGAAGAAGAAGAAGGAGCCAGCCAAGGTCAGGTTCAAGAAAGCAGGAAAAAAATTGATCAGTTTTGCTGGGAATAAGATAAAGGTAATAACATGTGTAGAAACACTCTTAAGGTGTAGAATTACATTACAGATTGTAGTTTGGTTTGGTAAAAAATGAAAATATTATAAATCATATACTGGTAGTGAGATTTGAGTTTCTAAATTCTTAAAAGAAATTACATACATTTAGGAAGTGTTCATGTATTAAATGAGCTGCTCAACATAAACATTATGATCAATAATAAAAAATAATACACTGAAATAAAAATATATTTCATGGATTGATCTGGAATTTCATGGAGAGCAGATATGCATAGTTTAGCTACACACCCACCCCAAACATGCCTAAAATATGTATTATCGAACAATAATGTTATTTTTTGCAGTCCAAGATGAATAACGATGAGAAGGAGGATCTACCAGACCAGAATGTGACATTCCTGAAGGATGAGAATGAGGACAACAGCTACATCTCTAGAATAAAGGTAAATAAAGAACCACATTTAAATATTAAAGTTATTAAGGCACTGAAATCCCCCCTGACCATTTGATCCATTTGAGAATACATACGTATACTTGTAGATTTCCATTTTCAAAGTACATGCAGCAATATAAACCCATTTGTCCCATGACTATGAAAAATAAAATGAAAAATCTCCAATATTATGAATGTTTTTTTCAGATCTATAATGAAGAGCTTGAGGGTCTTTCTGAGTTCAGCAACTTCACTGAGATTCTTCACACTTTCCCTCTCTACAGGGGTAAGGTTGTTGGCGATGAGGACATTGATGATGACAGCAAACTGGCTGGAAAGTTTAAGGTATTAACACTCAGGCCTGTAGCAAGGGGGGGGGGGGGGTTCAGGGGTTGCGAGCGAACACTCTGGCCAAAAACTCTTTCAAAATCATGCAGTTTTTCACCATTTATAGCTTTTAAAAAGAGAATCCTGGCATTTAAAGACAGCCCTTACAATAATATACAATAGAGGTGTACACTGTACACTCATTTTTTCTCTTAGTGTCATGGCAGTAAATGTTACTTTGTATGGATCTTTTCTTTCACATTGTAAATAATGATTTTGTGCAAAATAAATGACTTTTGGAGATTATTTCAACATTACAATGAATAATATCAAATACTCAATGTATTAAAGAATTCTGGTTTATATCAATCATAAACCATGTACTTCTATATATAATTTTACATTTAAAGTACCTGGACAAATCGCATGTCACTTCCAGGGGTCATTTTGCATATATCCGAAACCAGAGAATGAGGAGATCACTACTCTTGACTCAGTTGAGCCTCAAAAGGCCTTAAAAAAATCCAAGAAGGCTAAAAAGCACAAAGGTCCAGTTTTGAAGCTGATGAAACATCTGCCAAGCATTGAACCAGTAGCTGTGGCTGTTAGGGTCTATATTGTAAAGGTATGGAATTCAGCTTGGAGCTTAATATAAAACATTTGTTTTTATCCTTTTTTCTTTTATTCAGCCATATTGTACTACACTATTTTGTTATAAAACAATGGCTTATTTATTACACTACACTAATTCTTTTCTTGCTGAATATAAATTGGAATCAAATAAGGAACGAATATGAAAAAGAGAGATGCAGGCATCATATTACATTCAGCATTTTCTACATTATATTGTATTATCTAAATACTATAAATATTTATGTTATACATTATACTATACTGAACATATTATACAATACACAATATATTAAAAAATATTAATTTAGGAATAGAGGGTTATGAGAGGCTCATTCTCACATGGTAGTTAAATCTCATACTCAATGTGTTTTATCTTGGAAAAATAAAAAGGATAGGTCAGGAAATAGGTCTGGATGTTGACTTAAAAAAATTTTGAAGCCTGAAAAGCAACTCAATCACACATATATTAAACCTTAATGTTCCATCCTTCTTCTGAGAGCTGAAAAACATGTCCCTTTGAATGCTAGAATAGAATTGTCCATATGAATTTATATTCACCCATCTCTCTCACTTATCTCTTAAACAAATGAGAATAGACTGAAAATGTGAAGACATTAGTGTAAATGGAGACATACATGTACATGTACAATACACTTCCTGTTAATCAAGTTTAGACTTCTATGTTGTCTTGAACTGGTAATTGTACAGAGATAGACTGGATAAGCTGTATTCTTTTCTTGAATTGACAAGTCTTGTTACTTGTACTTATATTATAAACTCAAAATTTCTTTTTAATGACACTATAGGCGTTAGATCTCCATCCCTCTGATCCTAATGGTAAGGCTGACCCCTATTTGGAGGTGTCTCTTGGGAAACAGACTGTGAATACAAAGGATAACTACAAACCTAGAGCACTCAATCCAGTCTTTGGACAGTAAGTACAAACTGGATACACATTTATAGTTATCATTCCCAAATGTTGTGGCACCTGTGGCAGGCCAATATCACTCTACTATATCTTGAATTTGGTGTTCATGAGCAACCCATTTGGCTTATGACTAATGATTGTCTGTTCCTTAATAATGGTTTATCGAATGACTGTTAGATGTTAATAAGGTACTTTCAAAAATATTCTAAACAATACAATTAGAGTATCTTATGCATTCCTAGGGGTTCAGTATACAGGGTGGGCCAAAAAATTTTGCAACCTTTTTAGAAGGCAAAAAAAGTATCATAACATTATGGTATTGACATGAAATCTTTTTTACAGAAACTTAAGGATAGGCATATTTTATCATTCAAATACTTAAGCTAATACTGACTTCAAATTTCTTTGTCAGATGTTTGAATATTAATGTTAAATTGTCCATTTGTCCGAGATTTACCATTTTTCCTAGAAAATCTGACTTTCTATGATTTTATGTGATCAACAATAACACATTCATTATGTTTACTAAATCTGCTTCAATCTTTGATAACTGTTTAACCAATGTCTAGTACAGGTTTATATCAGTATCTAGTCACTATGGTAATATTGTTACACTGTATTAATTATTTATTAAACAAATGCTCTATGCATCCGCCTTTCACCTTCACAATCACATGGAGACGAGAACTAAACTGGTCAATGGTGAGATTCAGCAGTTCTTGTGGTAGTCGTCTCCACTTATCCTGCAGAACTTCTTATAGTTGATCAATAATTTGTGGGGTATAACCATTAACTACAATACATTGCTCCAGGTGCCCCCATGTGTGATAGGCCCAGGGGTTGGCATCTGGTGTATTGGGTGGCCATTCGACTCAGGACTAATCTTCTTCAAAAGGGATATCTTTCAAGAATGGGGACTCTTTCAGTCCCAAGTGATTACATATTCCAGCAGGATAGCGCTCCTGACCATAGGCCAAAAGTCACTATGGAATATCTGGAGCAAAATACCCCTTGATTCATTAGTCCTGATGAAAAGCCCCCCAATACACCACTTAACAAAGATTCCAGCAGATTTAGTGAACATAATAAATGTTCTATCGATGATCACATAAAATTATAGAAAATCACATTTTCTAGGAAAATCGGTAAATCTCGGACACATGAACAATTTACCATTAATATTCAAACATCAGACAAAAAAAATTGTAGTCAGTATTAGCTTAAGTATTTGAATGGTAAAATATGCCTATCCTTAAGTTTCTGTAAAAAAGATTTCATGTCAATACCATAATGTTATGATACTTTTTTTGCCTTCTGAAAAGGTTGCAAATTTTTTTGGCCCACCCTGTAGTAGTATAGTGTGAAAATGCAAATCAATAAATTATTTAAATGTTTACACAAAAACCTCTCTTGTTTTTATTTAGTACTTCTTTGAATCCTTACAGTATGTCTTAAGTATTCTGATAAATATTTGCAGGGTGTTTGAGTTTGATGCGATGTTTCCTGCAGACTCTATTCTAACAGTGAGGATCATGGATTGGGATTTGTTGACCTTTAGTGACCTGATCGGAGAGACCACTATTGACCTGGAGGATCGGTATATCAGCAAACACCGAGGAGGCTGTGGCATAGCAAAGCAATATGAAATGTAAGTATACATGTACTTTTAGGTTGTATAGTAATACAAATTGTCCTTAATATTGAAAGATTTTTAAGTCTCGATAATTATAATTAATCTTTGTTATTTCACTAGGTTCAGTATAATATTACACTTTCTTTGCAAAAAGGGAATATCTCCCATTGAGTAAAATTGTTATTGTCACAGATTTGGTTACAACAATTGGCGTGACCCAGAGAAACCGACCAACATTGTACACAATCTATGCAAGAAATACAAAATCAACCAGCCTGTTTATAATGTTGACAAAGTCACCATAGAAGGCCAGACATACTCTGCCCCTGCAGAAATAGAGGATGAACATGGTGAGTTCAAAACATCCACTGTCAATATGCAAAAGTCCCTCATCATTTTGATAACTGGTGTATTAAGGAATTGACAATGGCCCATCATTATAAAGTCATTGGCATCTATAAATGCAGTATTTTAAAAATAATCAATAAAAATAAAGAACATATGAAAATATTATTTTATATATTGACATGAAAATACTATACATGGAGTTTTTTGTTTAAAATTGGGTTTTATATCAAAATCATTGAAAGAATATGGTTAAATTGTATATTTTTATGTCACCATCAAAAGTAATGACATATTGTTATTGTCTCCATTTTTATGTCAAAAAAAGTGGTGACATATCATTATAGTCTCTTTTTTGTGACAGCGATGGGCTGTTGGCGATCGGTGTCTGTAACAAATTCTTACAATTTCCAATAACTTAACAAATATTCTGTAAACTGATTTCAATTCTTTTCAAAATCATCTACAAGTTTTCAGAAGTTCAAATCTGACTTTATATTTAAGATTGGACCTTCAATGACCTTTTCAAGGTAAAAAAGGTTAAAAAGGTAAAAAAGGTATTTTTTCAACTTGCTTCAAAATGACTAATTTTTTTAAAAATCATCGACAAGTTCTCAGAAGTTCAATCCTGACTTTAGATTTGAGATTTAATCTTCAACTACCTTCTCAAGGTCAAAAAAAGGTCAAAAAGGTATTTTTTCAAATTAACCAATTTTTTCTCAGAAGTTAAATTCTGACTTTAGATTTAAGATTCCACTTTCAATGACCTCTCAAGGTCAAATAGGTCTTTTTTCAACTTGCTTCAAATTGACCAATTTTTTTTCAAAATAATCTCCAAGCTCTTGGAAGTTCAAATCTGACTTTAGATTGAACTCATAATATTATGAGCAACTAGGTGGTGACATTTTGCATGTTAAGTAAAACTCCTTAAACAAGAAAATAATCTGTAATGTGTATGTTTGTATTGCAGGTGAAGCCAAGGGGACCAACGAGCACCTTGCTTTGGAGGTATTACATCACTGGGAAGAAATCCCTAAAGCTGGATGGAAACTTGTCCCAGAGCACTTAGAGACTCGAGCCTTGCATCGCCCTGACAAGCCTGGGGTGGAGCAGGGGAGGCTTCAGATGTGGGTTGATATGTTCCCCAAGCATCTCCCCCCTCCACCTGCACCAACTGATATTACTCCGAGGGAGCCAAAAGGGTTTGTAGTCTAATTTAGTTAGTTAATGAGTGCTGTCTCTAGCACATGGGGCTACAGAGTCACACAGTTTAATGTATCATGCCTTGAAGTTGTTAAACCATTGAAATACACTGCACATGTACAATATGCTGAGTCCATGAAATAAAATTATATGATATATGAGAAGCCATCTGAAGCACCTATTTGATCCATGCATAACTCTACCATAGAGAAGGTAATGCTTTTCATCTTGTACAAATCCATTTCAGCTACGAATTACGTGCAATTATATGGAACACAGAAGATGTAGTTTTAGATGACAGTAACATCTTGACAGGTGAAAAGTCTAGTGATATCTTGGTTAAGGGCTTCTTCAAGGGGAATGATATAGACCTTCAAGAAACAGATGTGCATTACAGGTAAACCTGAACATATTGTTATATTATATGCCTTGCTTTTCCAGCTCTGGTAAGCATTTATATAAAATATTATACATACAATTATATAGAGCTCCCTTAAAAATGCATGAAACCCAATTATTTTTAGTTTTATGTCACCAACAGACCTGGTGAAGCATTGTAACTTTATAGTCCCCAACTTTTTTGTGGACAGTGTTTGGTGTCTACATTCGTCATTTGATGTTCAACATTCGGTGGTCAGCATTCGGTGTCTCTAACAAATGACAGGTAGTGACATTTTGCATGTAAATGCTTTGTTTTATAACGTCACCAGAGAACATCAGAGGCCAGCATTGTATACATTCCATGATTACCTATATGTGTTTTATTTTCAGGTCTATGTCAGGGGAGGGTAACTTCAACTGGAGATTCATTTATAAATTTGACTACTTAGAGGCAGAGAAAAAGGTAAATGTAATATTCATCACAGGATCTTACACTACAAAGAAATGGTAGATTGCATTATGACTCCTATTACTCATTTGGCATACCCGGTTCTTTATGACTGTTGATTATTACTACCCGGCTGAGCAATTTATGAATTCAAGTCATGAGACACACTTGGCATATTTCAACTGCCATATTCATGTTTTTGTGTATATATCCATTCACTCATTAAAAATCTTTATCAGAATCCATAGTTGATTTGCGAATGTGGGTTTATTTGCAGGTTTCATACAAAATCAAGGAGAGTCCCCTTGCCCTGGATGAAACTGAGGTTATTTTACCTCCCAGACTCACTCTCCAGATATGGGATGCTGATCTTGTCATGTCCAATGATTTCTTAGGTAATATCATACATGCATACATACATAAAGTGGAATAAGAGAGATAAATGATGATTCTGCTATTTTGATTGGCTAGCTGGTTTTTAATTGAACTTATTCTGATGAGTGAAACTATATTAAAGAATTAGCTCTTAGCAAATGGTGTAGGTGGAACTCTCTTTTGAAGAAACAAAATCAAATTGAAAAGCATGGATATGTACATGTATGTAGCACACCATGACAATAATCAGGTCATTGCTGAGTCCATTGCTTAGGGCCATGTTCTAGATGATAGAAATACATGTAGTAGACATCTTCCATGAGAACATGTATGTAGCACACCATGACAATAATCAGGCCATTGCTGAGTCAATTGCTTAGGGCCATGTTCTAGATAAGAGGGGGAGAAACCCCAGGGTTCAAAGATGACATTCGCTTATAATGTAAATCTGTATTGAGATGACATCGTCGCTGATTGGTTTAGCGAGTCGATCGTTGATTGGTTTAAAACTAGGTCAATTTGAAAACTTTGAAAACCAAGATGGAGGGAAGTATAAATATACGTACTTCCGGGAAAGGAGGTGCGCGAAGGAGGAAATCGTATGTCATCAATTGAATCGTGGGGTTTTCCCTCCTCTTGTTCTAGATGATAGAAATACAAGTGGTAGACAGCTTCCATGAGCTTCTAGCTTTACCATTTGCTGCATTATCAATATTGAAGTTATTGTTAAATTGCTATATATTTTCTTGGGTCATCTAGCTATTGTTTAATGCTAATCATGAGTTAACTATTTTTGATAGTTGCAAGGCTAGTTAGACAATTATTACATAACATTTTATCTCCAGGTGCGGTGACGCTTGACCTCAACAAGATGCCGCTTGGTGCTAAAAATGCAAAAAACTGTAAATTAAAAATGATGAATTCAGATGGGAGTGTACCTCCCATGTCATTGTTCAAAAACAAGAAGGTGCGTGGCTTCTGGCCTGTCATGGCCAAGGATAAGTCGACTGGAGAAGACCTTCTACAGGTAAATGTTACTCTTCATACATGAAGTTTAAAACAGTATAAAGTTAAACAGTGTAATAGTGGGTTAAACATCTGAACCGCTATTTTCTTACCATAGTATCCGTAGGGTCTTGATACAAGGTTATATAATGTTTACAGTTACATATCAGAACGTTTTCAATAAAAAAATTAGTATAACACCGTAATGATACAATTGATGCAATGTCATTAATTGGTATCTACTATTTGTATATAATTTTGATTAATAATACAATGTATTCGTGGATAATGTTATGTATGTTGTGTACTAGGGTAAGATTGACCTTGAGCTTCACCTGTTGACAGAAGAGGAGGCTCAGAACAGCCCTGCAGGGGTGGCTAGAGAAGAGCCAGATCCCCTACCCAAACCAAAGTAAGAAAATATATCATTACTTTAATATTTCCTTTAAGAGTTTACATTACCTAAATTTATTTTCATATCCAAGTGGATTTCACATATTCATGTTATGGAGTGAGTTCATTTATTTTTTGCACATGCATGTATTCTTTTTATTTATATATGTTGTTTGACTGATAGTGGTATAAATATAGATGTTATTCACTCTGTGTTACCAAAATCTATTTTGAGTTTGTGTTCATATTCTTGATTTTCACTATATTCTTTTTTTATTTATCATCACCAGATTATATTTTGTTATGATTTTTATAAGCATATTTTTTTGCATGAATTTAAAATGCTTTTATTTTCCAGCCGTCCAGATACTTCCTTTCTGTGGTTCATGAACCCATGCAAGACATTACGTTATGTCATATGGGAGAACTTTAAATGGAAGATTTTGAAAGCCTTCTTGTTCCTGTTATTAGTTGCATTCATGGCCTTGTTCATCTATAACGCCCCTGGATACACTGTTAAGAAACTATTTGGGGCATAACCATGGCTCTTTAATTTACATGTATGAATATGTAATTATATTAGAATAACTTTTACATTAGCTTGTAAAATGCACCTGCCATTCTCCCAGTTTAGGAGCCAGCATTAGGGATATTAGGCTAACATTGAGAATTTTCTAGAAATGGAGGGTCTATTCTAGTGAAAGCTTACACCATGGCTGAGTGTTCGTTGGTGTGGTTAATATTTCTACTTTGGTGTTTTATCACATCATGTTTGCATTATTTTAGTCACATAATTAATCATATTTCACATAACAGACCTCAAAAGGCTCATTTGGAATACACCTTAATTAAGTGGTCAAGTTTAGTTTTTTTTCAAAAAGTATCACATTAATGTATTTTCTCAAGAATTTTCTGAATCTTTTATCAGATGTGATAAGACCCATTGTTATGATACTGTTCATTAAAAACCAATTTAACAGGCACATTCCAACAGCACCAGACACCTGTATGTACATGTACCCTACATGTATGGCACACTACTTAATTGTAAGCTTTGTATGCTTTTTGATGCACAATAACACCAACATTAATATGTATGTCACCACAATTAATGCTTTAATTACCTTTCAGACTGTCCCCACCCTTTGTATATAGTTGCATTTAATTAATTCAAATAATATGCAAAATATAAGTACAATCCATTGTAGATTAGGAAAGGATAAAGTGAATAGAAGTGATGCTTTAGCTTACTGTTCAAATTACTGTATTAGAACAATTAACAGCCCCATTAAAGACATCTATTTTCTTTCACATTGCAACTTTTATTTATGTTATGATGGAGAATATAAGCATTTAGTATAAAATACAAAAAGAGTCTTATCTAAATGACTTATTATAACCACTACCATAACTACAAATACTAAACATCATATCATATTTAATCTACATATGTATGTAAATTACTGTTGGATTATCTTTAAATATTGTTCACATATAGAAATTAAATAGTTAGTTATATAGTTATATTTTATTTCATAACATTATCTATTGGAAAATATATTGAATCTGTACAGAACACCCGAGTAAAAGGGTGTATCAGAGCTTATTATATCAAATGTGTAACAGGTGCAACCAAATATTCAGTCACTTTTTATCTAAATACAGCTTATAATAATTGTGTTTTTTATGTTCTTTTTCAGTCGCCCAGACTCGTCATTCCTGTGGTTTATGAATCCTCTTAAGACTTTGAGGTATGTCATCTGGAATAACTACAAGAAACGGATCATCATGTTTCTCATCTTCTGTCTGCTTGTCATCTTTATAGCACTCTTTGTGTATAATGCCCCTGGCTACACTGTCAAGAAGATATGGGGTGCATAATGTGAATACAATGCCCCTGGCTACATTGTCAAGAAGATATGGAGCATAATGTGAATATAATGCCCCTGACTACACTTTCAAGAAGATATGGGGTGCATAATGTGATTATAATGACCCTGGCTACACTGTCAAGAAGATATGGGGTGCATAATGTGAATATAATGCCCCCGACTACACTGTCAAGAAGATATATTAATTGACAAGCAACTTGTTATGGAGTGTGTGACAAAGTGCATCATGCCTCTTGTTTTACTCTCCGAAACTTATATACAAATACTATAAAAATGTGGAGTGCAATAACATTTTGTATGCCCCTTGTACAGTCAAAAATATGGATGCATATAATGTTTAAACTGTTCGAGATACACTGACACAATGACAATGTGCAGAAAAATTACACAAACATGCATGATAAAACGTACTTAAATGAATCGGAAGAAAAACCAATTTTCATGTTGCTCCAACTTAAGATTAAAGTTAGGATTCATAGATATAGAATTTACAATAACGCAGATGCGAGTAGGTAGTTACCAGATTCACCACCAGGTGGCTTGTTCGGGTCAGATAGTTCCCTTTAACTTAAATTACATCTATTTGCGTGGTTTAATTTTCATATAACCCTTATGTATCTATACTAATAGTTATGCAAATTGAAATATGTCCAGTAAAAGAAAATGTTATCTGTCCAATACAATAGAAGATAATTCACTTTTTGTTATTTTGTAACATGGGGTCTATGGGGAATCAACCCGAACAAGAAGTCACATTTTCTAACAAATTAAATGTTACTTAAAGAAATAGAGCATGCTTAACCCAACTGATTGCATCTGGAAACAAACCTAAAAGGACTTTAGCCATAAAAGGAACTTAAATTGGGAATAGTAAGTACATGTATGTGCAAAAGTGACACAAAGATGCAAGTGCCTTTACTGGTTATTATTAGTTGCTATTAAATAACAATATCTTGTCGAAAAAAGTGTTTTTTTGTAAAACCATTTCTCGTAACAGTTGTAAATTGATAATAAAACTGAGTTTCACAAATACATTTTTTGCATGTCATACCGCATTTCATGTGCAACATCCACTTCAAATTCTTTCTAGAGGCCAATCAAACTGAGTTTCCAGAAACAACATGTTGGTACTATACTTGCCTAAAGTACATTTTGATATTCTTCCTGAGGTTACAATATTGTTCACTATGTCTTTTGCTCCCCTTGTATTGACACTGTAAATAGTATAAGTGTAATTATGTCACCACCAAAAAGCAGTGACATATATTGGTCTCCGTTTTTTTACGGCGGTTGGCGATCGGCGTCTGTAACAAATTCTTACAACTTCCAAGAACTTAACAAATACTGTTTACATCATTTTCATGTTTCCAGAAGTTCAAATCTAACTTTATATTTTAGATTTGACCTTTAATGACCTTTTCAAGATCGAAAAAGGTTAAAAAGGTCTTTTGTCAACTTGCTTTGAATTTTTCAAAATCATCTACAAGTTCTCAACAGTTCAAATCTGACTATAGATTTGACCTCCAATGGCATTCTTAAGGCCAAAATAAGTCTTTTTTAATCTTGCTTCAAATTGACCAATTTTTTCTCAGTTCTCAGAAGTTCGAATCTGACATTAAATTTGAGATTTCACCTTCAATGTGCTTCTCAGGGTCAAAAAAGGTATTTTTAATACTTGCTTCAAATTGACCAATTTATTTTTTCCAAATCATCTACAAGTTCTAAGAAATTTAAATCTGACTAAGATTGAACTCACAATATTATGAGCAACAAGGTGGTGACATTTTGTCATGTTAATGCCTTGTTTTGACATGCAGTATACCCCTGTACATGTATGTGGGGGAAAATTGCTTGTAGTCTTCAGGCTTGTAACTTTGAAAGTTCAAAGAAGAAACATTACTTAATTTCATTCTGTAAATGTTTCATGTAGTTTTCAAAACATTATTGATTTTGCAGTACTGTAAATACTCAAAAACATTTATTCATTTGTTTTATATACCAAGTCTTCCTCTATACAGATGTATAGTATAGTGAATGTAAATTAACTTGCTGTTATATAATATAAATACAATATATTTATAATGTTATAAACATAGCACACATGTTTGTTGATACCTGTACCTGATTAAGAATAATAAATAATTTGCTCATTTCAAAATGGTCGCCATTTTCCCCCCAAAATGTAATAGGATAATTCAAATACTGGTTGATTTAATATGATACATTTGTCGCACGGCGGCCGTATGTCGCAAATGTGACTGGGGCTTCAGGAACATATATGACTGTACTCTAGGAGGGATTTTCAAGATCGCTGCTCAAGCACAAAATCAATTCAAAAGTGTCACCAATTTTTCGAAAAATGTTTTTTGCTCATTTTTATAGAATTTGGCCGAAGTTTTATAGGCGGATATTCTATTGGAAAGGACCTCTGCTCAAGAAGGAGTTTCCACTCAATTCGGAAATGTTTATCAGATAATGTTCCACTCTAAATATTTGGTGCGGTAGCTCAATAAACAATAAACTTTCTCGTTTGATAATTTTGTGTTGTGAGAGAACTTAGACCACGCCAACTGTTTCCATAATCCCCAAACATACTAGGAAATACGTTTTTATGTTTGTGGCAAAAGTACGTTCAACTGATGAATTGGCCCGTAATAAAAGGGCACGTCGGTCAGGACATGGAAGGTGTAAATTCCACACTACGCCAAAAAAGAAAAAAGAAACTATTGTCAAATCTTCGTGGTGCGCGCATTATACCGAAACCCATTATACCGACGCGCATTGTACCAAAAGGTGTTATACCGAATACCATAATCACTGTTCCACAACTAGTTACCTAGACGGAATGTCAATGTAAAATGGATGAACTTCCTGGTTACGAATTTTTTGCTTTCTCGATTTAAACCTCCTAATAAGTCAAGTTGCAGATTATAATTTGGCCTAAATCTAGAAAATATAGCCTAGTTTTAATAAGTTTCTTCGATTTGGAATTTGTTTTGTAAATGAAGCTCTGTAATTCATATACTAAGCCCCTCGCTTTTGTTACATTGACGAAAGCCCGTTATATTACCAATGTGTGTTACTTTGACGACTTACGTCAATGTAACAAAAGCGATGGTCTAAATGCACAAATTACAGATTTATTGAAAAATCAAATTCCAAACCGAGAGCATTTCTAATGTAAACGAATTTTACGGTGTTCCATGCGTTCTATTGTCATGATTCAAGTACTACTTTGAGGGGCATAGTAATAAAAAAATTATCATATAAAATGTCGTTAAATACATAAATGAAATTGGTCCGTCTAATAACCGAGAAATCAAGCATAACGTACATGTATTCTACTTTAAAACACAATTTTACAAACCAAAGGTTTACGTGCATTTATTCATCGTGGTAAAGCATGGCTAGCCACACGTTAAGCACACCATTGGAAAGTTATTTTTGCGATTTTATATATCATAATGATATTTACCAGAACAAAATAGAGAATTAAACCTTAGAATGTTAATGATACACCCTGAAAGGATGTGGTACGTCCCCACTCAACACATTCCCCAAAAAGTCTGATTCTGTAGAATTGACCCTTTCCATATAAATGGAAAAATAGATGGCATCATGGGTATAGATGGGGCGAAATAACATGACAAGAGTCACTTAATTTCTTGATTTAACAAGTAATTCCATTTGAATCAACTTAAAACACCATTAAAATGTAACTATATGATATTATTGACATATGGATTGTGATTTCACATTAAAATTGTGATCCTTGTAAGAGTAAATGAACTTTTGAAGGTTTTTCAACATTTGCTGGAATTACACATGGCGTTTTACAAAAGCTTTTTCGGTTTTAACCAGGTTTAAGAATTAGGTGTAATCACGATTGCGGTTTTACAAAAGCGCTTTTCTAAAACTCCAAGAACCCTTGTAGTCCAGTAAAACCATGACAAAAATTGACAAATGAAGGAAAAAATTGCAAAAGTATTTAAACCTAGTGTAATCAATGCATAATGATGGGTTAAAAGACATATCAAAAATCTAGAAAAATCTAAGTAGTGGAAAACTTCAAAAATCACCATTTATACCCCCTGGGGTACTTTTACGAGGGGGTACTATCATAAACCTTAATAATTCCTGTTATGTACCCCAAATCACATTCAAATTTTCAGGGATCATGCAGCTATACATAGTCAGTTACCATGGCAAGTTTGATATTGATTGGTGAAATGATTACCATGGCAACACAATTTAATTACACAAAAGCTGTAAATATTTTGGATAAATCCAAAGCTTCCTTAAAAACAAATGTCTGCTTATCTTATCTGAAGTTATTCCAAATGAACAAAACTTTGACCTTTAAAACATATTTAGGGAGTTTTCAATAAGATAACATGATACAAATGATGAACTCGTGGATGTCTATGACTCTGGACTCTATTGATATTTGGTGACTACTGCTCAATCTACTAAAAAGTGGGTGTGGTACTTTTCATGAATACAGATATTATAATTTGATATGGTAAGTCTGAACATGATTGGTCAAGTGGTTGCCATAGTAACACAACATAATGAATGCAAATAGTGGCTAGAGATCATTTCAAATAATCCTTATATCTTAACAGGTTGTTCCAATTGCATTAATCTTTTAAGAGTTGTTTTGTGTATGATTCTAACAAAATTAAGTTTGGATAATATTGATACATGGTTGTTATGGCAACCTAACTGATAATACTGTTTGTTAAGACACATGCTTTGCTACTGTAGTATCTTCTTAGTACAAAATACGGCAGGCCATGTCTCTAACTCTCTGTCTGTCTGGATATCTCCTTCTAGACCCTTCAACCTTGAGTCATCATGCTTGATCAATATTCTTAGTGGATCAATGAGTTTCCTATTAAGGACAGAGGTCAATATCTCGGTATTTGGCATTTTAAGATCCTGGGCGGATGCTGTGACCCTTGACGACCAATGATAAGGTAACCTGAAGTCAAGGTCAATG